CGGAGAAAACTGCGAGGCGCCCCGAGAGCGAGCTCAGGGGCTTGCAAATGCGACCCACCCAGGCAGCATCTCTCTTAAACTACCTACCCTCCAGGGCAGGTGATGGATGGATTCGGGTAGATGGTACCTACCTACCTTCTCAAGCCAAGGATGGGCTTTGGTCCAGAAAAGTGAGCCTGGCCTCCTGGCCTAAAGCCTGCCTCATTTCATCTTCTGGCTTAAGGCAAGTCTTTTGGGATATCTTTACATCTTCCGACAGGCAGGGCTATCTGTGTAATGGAGTTTTAAATTTGGAGTTTTTAAATTTTTTGGGTTTTTAACGGATTTCGGCCGCAAATGTAAGAATTTTAATAATTTTTAAATTTAATTATGATGTTTGTATTGTGTTTTTACTTGATGTGCACCGCCCCAAGTCCTTCGGGAGAGGGGCGGTATAGAAATAAAATTATCTTATCTTATCCCCCCTCCGCCCCCAAGAGGTGAGCCTCCCCACTTCCACTCTGTTGAATTTCCAGTGTGAAGACCTGGCGTTACCAATAAGCATGGGTGGGTAGGGGGGTCTGTGTGACGCAGCCTTAGAAACGGAGGGTGGCTTGTTAACCTTTTCATCTTCTGCATTTTAACCGGTTTTTATTTTTAGGTGGAAGTTTTCATTTGTTCTTTTACGCTTTTGTTTTTTAACCTGTGTTTTTGGTTTGTTGTTTCTTTAATGTTGCAAGCAGGGTGAAATCCAGCAGGTTCTGACAGGTTCTGGCGAACCGGCAGCGGAAATTTTGAGTAGTTCGGAGAACCGTAGCGGAAATTTTGAGTAGTTCGGAGAACCAGCAAGTGGGGTGGGAATGGAGATTTGGCAATATCCTTCCCCCAGGAGTGGGGAGGGAATGGGGATTGTGCAGTATCCTTCCCGTGGAGTGGGGTGGGAGTGGAGATTTTGCAATATCCTACTCCCAGGAGTGGGGTGGAATGGAGATTTTGTGGTATCCTTCCGAAGCCACACCATCAAGCCACGCCCACAGAACTGGTAAAGTAAAAAAAATTGGATTTCACCACTGGTTGCAAGCCGCCCCGAGTCACTTAGGCAGGATGTATGGCGGTATATAAATTCAGTAAATAAGTACATTCATTCATCTCGACGGTGACTACTATACTGGGTGAAGGATTTCTGATGCATTGAAGCGCATGACTGGGCGAGGTCTTGGTCACAGCATCAGTGGGGCAGTGTCGGGCACTAACAACTAGACCCGTGATGGCAAACCTATGGCACACATACCAGAGGAGGCACCCAGAGCCCTCTCTGTGGGCATGCACGCCGTCACCAGCTGCTCTTCTGGTTTCCTGTGTGCTGGTCTTTGTGGCGCTGGAGTGCTGGAAAACGGCCCAAAAAGCGGTCTGAAAATGGCCCGAAAAACAGCCAAAAAACAGGCATGTGTGCATCAGCCAGCTGGTATTTGGGTTTCCGGTGCTCTGGTGCACACCCATGCCCGCGTGTTCCAGTTAGGCACTTGGTGCCAAAATGGTTTGCCGTCACTGAACTAGACCCATCTGTGTAGAGTTGAAACTACTTTATTGCTCTCTGCCTATAGTACAGGAATCTACTCCAGACGGACAGCTTTCGCCTGGGAAAAGACCAGACAAGGCTTTTAAGGAATTCAGGGGTGGGGTCAGACCTAGCCCTCTTGTGTTTATGTAGAGAGTCTAGGCTGATTCCTCCTTTGAGTCCTCCTCCTATATCTGGGATGGCTGCTCTCCAAACAGATAACGATGCTGGAAGATCGGTGCTGAGGAACACTTAATGTCCCAACTCTTCCTGCTTCCTTGGAGACATCAAAATAACTGCTGGTCCGTCTTTGGATGGACCTGGTTTTGGGTCACCTGAACAGGTTCGTGTTCCGATGTGTGTCTCCCTACGGGCCACAATAAAAACAAACGAAAAAAACCCCAAAAATCACTCTTCCGCATCCTCTGGTTTACGGTTTTAACTTTTGGGCTAACCAGTTGGTTAATCTCTCCATGCCAGGAAACCTTGCGTCTTTAGTTTGAAAAAAAGTGTGATTTTGTAAGAATGTGAGCCACTTGGGTCATAACATACACCGACGCCAGTGGGGGGTGCAACCCAGTGGTGAAATCTGAACCGGTTTGCTGGCTGCGCATGTGCAGAGTGCACCTGTACCAAATGCGAGGTGCGCACACTCAGTGCGCGCCAAAAGGAGGCATGTGGTAAGTAGAACAGCGCTTGAGAGGGGTGTGATCAGCTGTGGCGCGCAATCTTTTTTTTTTTTTTACTTTTAAAAGCATTGCTTTTAAAAGTTAAAAAAAAAAAAGCCTCTGACGATCATGCTGCTCTGCTGGGATCGTCAGAGGCTTTTTTTTCTCCCTACCTTTTAAAAGCATTTTTTTCTACAACCTCTTCGGCCTACATGCAAATTTCTGCCATTTCCATGCTTTCTGAAGAGCAACATCCAGGGGTGAAATGCTCCCGGTTCGGACTGATCTCCCGATCTGGTAGCGATGGAGGCGGGTGGTTCGGAGAACCGGTAACAAAAATCCCTGCCCCCCCCCCCATGCCCAGCTGAGCTGCACAATCATCAGAGGCTTTTTTTTTTTTTTACTTTTAAAAGCATTTTTTTCTACAACCTCTTTGGCCAAAAAATGTTTTTAAAAGTTAAAAAAAAAAAAAAAGCCTCTGATGATTGCGTGGCTCAGCTGGGATCGTCAGAGCCTTGAAAGCATTTTTTTTACAACCTCTTCGCCGAAGAGGTTGTAGAAAAAATGGTTAAAAAAAAAAATTGGCTACGCCCACCCAGTGACATTACCCCCCCCCCCCCAAAGCCATGCCCACAGAACCGATAGTAACAAATTTTAGATTTCACCACTGGCAACATCCACAAGTGCTACAATAGAAGAAACTATTTGGAGCTCAGGGTTGAAATGAGGGGGTCCTCGTTGTGCTCTGAGCTTGGTTGTTTTTTTTGGGGGGGGGCCAGATGTTTTATTTCCCAAACCTAGGTAACAATCACCAGTGCTGCTGCTGATGTTACCTAGCTGGGTAATGAAATGTCTGCAAGAAAACAACCGAAATCTAGAGACCACTGAGGAGCCCTCAAACGAGGGCTTGGTAGTACAGTGGTCTAAGAGCCTTGATAGTACAGTGGTCTAAAGCACCCTGTTATTAAGACCAGCTGCCTGCAATTACTGCAGTTCGAATCTCGCCAAGGCTCAAGGTTGACTCAGCCTTCCATCCTTTCTAAGTAGGTAAAATGAGGACCTGGATTGTGGGGGCAATAAGCTGACTTTGTATAAATATACAAAAAGGATGAAGGCTATTGCTTAACCCATTGTAAGATGCCCTGAGTCTCCAGAGAAGGGCGGCATATAAATCAAATTAAAACAAACAAACAAAAAAAAACTTTGTAGTAGTTTTGAACTCTAATCCTGGTTTCTGGCTTCTCTGCACCGGACAGTTAATCCAGATTATATGAGCTGCTTCCACTCTTCATTAGGGCTCTTAGATACAGGCGTCTCCTCGATTAAACCAGTTTGCTGCCTTCTCCAGGCATGTTTATTTTCTTCTTGTTTCTCGGTAGCTTGTTTTGGCTACAATCCCACAGAGATGCTCAGCTGAGGGGGAGAAACACTGTTATTCAACGTACTGGTAACTCATGCTAGGCCAGCAACAGACACGAGATGGCAACACAGATTTAGCACGTGCCACATTTAGCATAGATAAAGGATGCTAAGAAATCCTGGGTGGCTTCCTTGTGCTTTTTCGGAATTTTTTAGAACGAAGATGGATTAGGGACCAGAGGCTAAAATAATATGAAGAACGGTTGCAGGAATATGGGTAGGTCTAGTGCAGGGTCAGCAACCTGTCACTCTGGAGCTGCATGTGACTCTTTCACCCCTCTGCTGCGGCTCCGTCACTCAAAATATGCATCACAGCTGCCAATGTGCGACTCCTGCTGGCCCGCAATTTATTGAGCTTTTCAACCCCCGGTAGGCCAACCATGGATAAATCCAAGAAAAGAAAAGTTTCAGAAGAAAACAGAATGTTTAATTCAACTACATAGGCTAATTTTGTGGCCCTCAAGAAATAGTCAGGCACGGGAAGGGTTTTGTGGCTCCTGGTGTTTTCTTTTCAGTGGTAAACGGGTCCAGATGGCTCTTTGAGTGTTTAAGGTTTGAGCCGTAGCAGAGGGGTGAAAGAGCCACATGCGCTCCAGAGCCGCAGGTTGCTGACTCCTGAACTAGACTTACCCAATTCCTGCAACCGTTCTTTCTATGTTTTAGCCTTCAGTCCCCTAATCATCTTTGTTGTTCTCTGCACTCTTTCTAGAGTCTCCACATCTTTTTTTATATCATGACGACCAAAACTGGATGCAGGATTCCAAGCGTGGCCTTACCAAGGCATTATAAAGCGGTATTAACATTTCACGTGATCTTGATTCTATCCCTCTCTTAATGCAGCCCAGAACTGTGTTGGCTTTTTTGGCAGCTGCTGCACATGGCTGGCTCATATTTAAGCGATTGTCCACTAGGACTCCAAGATCCCTCTCTAAGTTACTGCTATTGAGCTCACAGTTATTAAAAAGATGCTGCATTGGCTAGAAGTGCAGGATTTCTTAAAAGTATGGCACTCCAAAACCGTAATTTGTTCATTTTCCCCATCAACTGGACCTAATTTCAATTCCAATTGAAAGTTGCTTAATACATGGATTTTTACATGATCCCAAATGTGGGTTTATGTTAATAAGCGTCTTATTTTTAACTTCATCTGACATTTCAATCAGATTCTCGGCACCAGTTCTGTTATAATGAACAGAACTGTTGGTGATAATCTGTTCTAATATAAATTAATTTATAATAATTATGGACCAAAGCAGGGGAAAATGTAATGATCTCCCACAAAGATCAGGAGCTGATCTCGAATGTTCCCTACAAAAGGAGCTCAATATTGCTGGATTTTTCTGCCACGCAAAAATCACACAAAACAAACTTGGACCTCACCGTACAAATTTTTTACTACAAAAATCAACAAAGTACACGTTTCAAAGATTAAAAACTGTTTCTCAGTCCTTCTGCCTGACAAAACATCTTTTAAGCTAGGGATAAAAATCATAAAATATTTATGCAGTAGAATAAAACGAACTTTTAAGACACTAAAAGCAAGATTAAAAACAAAATTAAAATATTTACAATCCTTCTCCCCTTCCCCTCCTTTTTTTTTTAAAGATTCAGGGTTTGATTTGAATATTTGGACAGCTGATAAAGGCCCTTTATAAATTATGTGCAAGTAATTATTTATCAAAGAAAGATTTGCTAGAATGCATTAAATTATGCCCCTGGGTAAATCTTTAGCTTGCAATAGGTCACGGCAAAATCCTAACAAACATTTCCATGAAAACTACTTTCCCTCTCTGTTAAAAACCAGAGATAACAAGCAAACACACACAATCTATGTTGCCAATGCTTCCAATGCGAAGATATTCCAGTGAGTTCGACTCTTAAGTGCATTTTTCAAGACCTGTAAAGCCAGATGATTCCTTCTTGTTCTTCATTTCTCTTCACATTCAGCTTTCGGAAAGCTTTAAAGAGGGGAGTGGGGGAATGGGAGAAATACACACCCAAAAACAAGTTTGTCGGGGTAAAGGGAGAAGCTGCTAAATAATGACAAAATTCTCTCTGCTACTAGAAACAACAGCTAATGAAAGGATAAACCAGCACTACTGAAATCGCTAAATATGTCTGAACTAACTGGGGAGCCATTTTGATGCAGAAATGCATCACAGCACAAGGCAAAACCTTGTTATCCAGATAGGACAAGGTCCCAGGATGAGCTGCTTCTGATCTCAAAAATCTGTGCTTGGTGAATTTTAACCGCTTTCAATATCACTGCTCACAACACAAGGGCAAAGAGGCGTGTGTGAAGGATGAACCGTGTGATAAGTGAGAGGAGTAAAAAGGTTTATCATTCTTCTCTTCTTGGGCCACAATTTGCACTGGTGTTCTTCTTGACCCTCGCTAAGGGTCAAACTACACATTACACCCCTCGCAGGTTGACGGAATCTTGCATGAAAACTGGCTGCTTCGATTCGGCAAGTAAGCCGCTGGGTGAAGCTGTAAAGTGCCTTGATAGCCTGTCTGTCTGTCTGTCTTCTGTCCATCATCCATCTCTGTCATCCATCCATCTACCCATCCACCTACATCCATCTAACTATCTATCTATCTATCTATCTATCTATCTATCTATCTATCTATCTATCTCTATCTATCTATCTATCTATCTATCTATCTATCTATCTATCACTATCTATCTATCTCATCCATTTACCCATCACCTACCTTTATCATCCATCCATCCATTTACCCATCCACCTACTTCTATCATCCATCCATCCATCCATCCATCCATCTCATCCATCCATTTACCCATCCACCTACCTCTATCATCCATCCATCCATCTTATCCATCCATTTACCCATCCACCTACCTCTATCTAACTTCCATCCATCCATCCATTTATCTATCTACCTACCTACCTACCTACCTAATATACCTGTCTATATGTCTGTCTATCTACCTGTCTATCTCTATCTTTCATCCATCTACCTCTATCTATCTATCTATCTATCTATCTATCTATCTATCTATCTATCTATCTATCTATCTATCTCATCCATGTACCTCTCTCTCTCTCTAATCTATCTAATCTATCTGTTTGTCTGTCTGTCTACCTGTCTATCTCTATCATCCATCCATCTACCGATCCACCTACCTCTCTCTCTCTCATCTATCTCATCCATCCATCTACCTATCCACTACATCTATCTATCTATCTATCTCTATCTATCTATCTATCTATCTATCTATCTATCTATCTATCTATCTAATCTCATCCATCCACATCCATCTATCTATCTATCTATCATCTATCTATCTATCTAATATATCTATCTAATGTCTGCCTGTCTATCTCTATCATCCATCCATCTATCCATCCACCTACCCCCCCTCTCTCTATATATATCATCTTATCCATCTATCCATATCTATCCATCCACCCATCATCCACCCATCCACCCATCCACCTACATCCATCTTCTTTCTGTCTGTTTGTCTGTCTGCCTATCCATATCATCTTATCCATCCAACCATCCACCCACCCACCCATCCACCTTCTACACCACCCCAAAATTTACCTATCTGTTCCAGTTATCTCCAGCTATGCCAAGCTCAGAAGTGGGCAGCTTAAGCAAGCGTCTTCTTTTGGTTTTGTTTTTCTTTCCTTTTTAAGTAATACTGTCAACACACACACAAAAAATCTGCCACCTAGGAGGGCCCATGATGCTCTTTGGATGGGCCTAGAATGAAATCACAGCTCACCTAGGGTGCTGCTCTGAGGTCCACGGAGTCATAGGCCGATGCTCTCATCAGCTGAAGAGGGCTCGTAAAGAACATTCGCAGTTCTTCGTAGTTTGGTTTTTCTTCATATTCCAAAGTCATGACCTGTTGCAGGTATTTCTTTATGGATTCTTTAAAAATCAATCGATCGGTTAATCAAACAGATCTCCGTGAACAACAATGAAAAGAGCTGCTCTGTCTTAAGTAACAATTGCAATATTTGTGATGCCACAACTTCTGGCTTAGATCAATGTTTTTTTTTTTTTTTTCAACTTGGCAACTTTCAGATGAATGGACTTCAACTCCCAGAATTCCCCAGCCAGTCATACCGTCACAATGGGCTGTGCAAAATCGTAGTGGATTATTTCTCATTGAAAATATATAGTGGGTAGTCCTCAATTTACAACAGTTCGTTTAGTGACCATTCAAAGTTGCAACAGCACTGGGAAAAAAGTGACTTACGATCGTTTTTTCATGCTTACGGCAGTTGCAGCTTTTCCATGATCAAGAATCCAGATGCTTGGCAACTGGCACGTCCCGGGATCATGTCATTCCCTATTCATTGCGACCTTCGGACAAGTAAAGTCAATGCGGAAGCCAGTTTTGCTTAACAACTGCATTGTAACTTAACAATTGCAGTGATTCACTTAACAACTGTGGCAAGACAGGTCATAAAGAGGGGCAAAACTCACTTAACGACTGCCTCGCTTAGCAACAGAAACTGTGGGCTCAATTGTGGTCGCAAGTTGAGGACTACCTGTCATGTGGAAAGCTGTTGTGAGAACAACCATGAGGTAGCAATAGTATTTAGACTTAGATACCGCTTCACAGTGCTTTTACAGCCCTCTCTAAGCGGTTACAGAATTGACCTATTGCCCCCCAACAATGTGGGTCCTCATTTTACCGACCTTGGAAGGATGGAAGGCTGAGTCAACCTTGAGCCGGTCAGGATCGAACTGCTAAATTGCTGGCAGCCGGCAGTCAGCAGAAGTAGCCTGCAGTACTGCAGTCTAACCACTGCACCACCAAGTAACCCTCTAAGACAGTGTTTCTCAACCTTGGAAGCTTGAAGATGGGTGGACTTCAACTCCCAGAATCCCCCAGCCAGCGCTGCTGGCTGGGGGATTCTGGGAGTTGAAGTCCACCCATCTTCAAGCTACCAAGGTTGAGAAACACTGCTCTAAGAAATAAACCCTCAAGTGAAAATTAGGATATTAAAATGAGAACAAGTCAGCCCGCCTTTACCTGGTAAGGCTCCCCAACCAGTAGTCAGTCTTGAACTTTTGATAATATCCGCTTTGCACCTACAACGGCAATGACAATCAACGTGAATCCCTTAAACAGGAGAACTACAAGAATTGTGCATTGACAATACATATTCACTGTATTTATTGCTGTCTGCAGCATCCTGGGGTCCTACAACTGATTGGGATTGGGCTGCCCTGGTTGCTGGGTGGGTGTGGCAATCGTGGGTGTGGCCTAGTCAGCCTCCTGCACCGTGGCAGTGGGGGGGGAGGGGCAGTTTTTGCGATCCCTGGACTCCGGAGATTTTTCTCGAGCCTCCGGGAGGGCGAAAACGGCCTCCCCAGGCTCCGGAGGCTCTCTGGAGCTTCCCGAACTTCTGGTAGGCCTGTTTTTCGCCCTCCCCGAGCCTCCGCACGCACCCTGCGCTTACCTGCATCCAAAACGGGCTGCGTGGGGACTCCTGGGAGGGGTGAGGCAGGGCGAGGCCAGCCAAGAGTGGGATTTGGGGGTTCTCTGAACTGCACAGAATCTTAGCTATAGGTTCTCCCGAACCCCTGCGAACCCCCAGCAGCCCATCATTGGTTCTGCCCCAAACCAGTATTTACACCTGAATGTTGGCAAAACTGTGCCCCTGGAGAACCACTGGCTAACTTAATGACCATGGTGTTTGCTTAACAATACCAATTCATTTAACCACCATGGCAAAAAAGAGGTTGTAATATCAGGTCGTCGTGCAACCAACCTGTTTTATGACTCTTGTGAATTTTGACCATTTATTTTATTTATTTTATCATATTTGTATACCGCCCTACTCCCGGAGGACTCAGGGCGGTGAACAGCCAAGATAAAAATACAAATAACATACAAAAGGTAAAAGCTATTAAAAATAGATTAAATAACTTGGGCTCAAAAAACAAATTTAAAACATCCAATTTATGTAAAATATTTAAAACCCAATTTAAAAGGGAGAGTTAGGCCAGACCAGCCTGTTGGAATAAAAACGTTTTTAGGGCGCGGCGGAAGGTGCGTAAGTCTTGAATCCTCCGTATCTCCGGGGGGAGCTCATTCCAGATGGCAGGTGCCCCCACAGAGAAGGCTCTCCCCCTGGGGGCCGCCAGTTGACATTGTTTGGCCGACGGCACCCTGAGGAGCCCCTCTCTATGGGAGCGAACTAGTCGGTGAGAGGCTACTGGTGGCAGAAGGCGGTCTCGTAAGTACCCTGGTCCTGAGCCATGGAGCGCTCTAAAGGTGGTAACCAAAACCTTGAAGCGCACCTGGAAGACCACTGGGAGCCAGTGCAGCTCGTGCAGGATGGGGGTCACATGGGAGCTCCACGTCGCTCCCATCACCACCCGCGCGGCCGCATTCTGGACCAGTTGGAGCCTCCGGGTGCTCCTCAAGGGGAGCCCCATGTAGAGAGCATTGCAGTAGTGAATCACACCCCCGTTACATTTGTAACTCAAGGATTATTTGCACGCATGCATGCACAGTATGCATCGAATGTGCGCTTCGCGTGGAAAAATGAGGATTTCCTGCTTTCTAGCGAATATAAATCACGCGGCACAGCTAATCGACGGAAATACCAGTTCGGAGGAGCCGGTAGCATTTTTTTTACTACCGATTCGCCTAAACCGGTGCGAACCGGGAGCATTTCACCCCTGGGTTGTACATTCTGCAATATTGGGGCCGTCGGTGAGTCAACAGCGGGTCAGAGGAGGAGTCGCTGCGGGACAGAGATGACTGTTGCTCTTTAAAAAAATTAGGATTTAAATCGAGTTGATTTAAATCAAGACTTTCTACTTGTGATTTAAATCGTGATTTAAATCGATTTGATTTAAATCAAATCAAATCCACCCTGCTTTTGAAGGCCAGGTTAATGTCCCAAAGACAAGGTCGGCATGACCGGTACGAGTGGCGTTCCTTTAATGTTTATCTCTTGGGAGCAGGGTTTTTTTGTGGGGGGGCCTTGGTGTTCTCTGAGCTTGGTTCTTTGTTTGCACCAGACTAGTTAACATCTTCAGTACTAGAAGGGAGAGGGGTTTGCTGTCTGTTCATTCGGGTAGTCCTCCATTTACAACAGTGACAGGTCAGAGTTGTGACAGAACTGAAAAAAGGGACGTACGACCGTTTCTCACTGTGACGGCCTTTGCAGCAACCCCATAATCAGGTGATCAAAATTCAGGTGCTTGGCAACTGGTTCCAACTCTGCGCCAACTCAGGAAGCTCAAACTGCCCAAGAAGCTGCTGATCCAGTTCTACAGAGGAATTATTGAGTCTGTCATCTGCACCTCTATAACTGTCTGGTTTGGCTCTGCCACCCAACAAGACAGACACAGACTTCAGAGGATAATTAGAACTGCAGAAAAAACAATTCCTACCAACCTGCCTTCCATGGAGGACCTGTATTCTGCACGAGTCAAAAAGAGCTGAGAAAATATTTACAGACCCCTCACATCCTGGACATAAACGGTTTCAACTTCTATTCTCAAAACGACTCTATAGAGCACTGCACAACAGAACAACTAGATACAAGGACATTTTTTTCCCGAACGCCATCACTCTGCTAAACAAATAATTCCCACAACTCTGTCAAACTAGTTACTAAGTCTGCAGTACTATTAATCTTCTCATCGTTCCTATCACCCGTCTCCTTCCACTTATGACTGTATGACTGTAACCTTGTTGCTTCTATCCTTACGATTTATATTTGATTGTTTCCTAGCATGATCTGATTGCTTATTTGTTCCCTATGACTATCATTAAGTGTTGTACCTTATGATTCTTGACGAATGTATCTTGTCTTTTATGTACACTGAGAGCATTTGCACCAAATTCCTTGTGTGTCCAATCACACTTGGCCAATAAAGGATTGAATTCTATTCTATTCTATTCTATTCTATTCTATTCTATTCTATTCTATTCTATTCTATTCTATTCTATTCTATTCTATTCTATTCTATTCTATTCTATTCTATGACCGTTGCTGTGTCCCAAGGTCATGCGATCCACTTTTGTAACCTTCTGTTGAGCAAAGTCAAGGAAGGAAACTCTTAACAACTGAGTTACTAACTTAATCAACTACAGCGATTCTCTTAACAATTGGGGCCAGAAAAGTCGTAAAATGAGGCAAAATTCACTTCACAAATGCCTCGCTTAACAACAGAAATGTTGGGCTCCATTGTGGTCATAAGTCGAGGACTACCTGTATAGAATAGCTTGTTTGTGGGATTGTTGTTTTCTCATTGATAGCTCCTTGGTTAGTTGTTTATTTAGTTTTTTTGTGTATAAACCGACAGCAAACAGCACTCCCTTTGTAGTACTTGTGTTGTTGGATAATAAAACATCTGCATAAACAAACAAACCAGGGATGGGTTCTAATTTTTTTTACTATCGGTTCTGTGGGTATGGCTTATTTTGTGGGTGTGGCTTGATGGTCATGTGACAATTCTTTAGGATTTAGCAGAGGTACTGGTCTACCAGGCTTTTAACTGCTTGCAGAGCTGTACCGATCTACCCATTTATTTTTGCAGGCACTGGTCTACTCATGTATTTTTGCAGGCACTGATCTACTCATTTGTTTTCTTTTAACACTGATCAGCTGTAGGGCGGCCCTTTGAAGCCCCACGGCAAGAGTTTAAACAGTTTTTTCCCCTCTAGCCATCACCTGGGGCTCAGGAGGCAGCGAAGAGATTGGGGGTGGGGCCAAATAAAAGGTAAGAATAATGCAGGGGGGGCGTGCGGGGGGGAGGCAGAACCAGTTCGGTGATGTCATATCGTCACCGCTACCGGCTCGGGAGAACCGGGCCGAACCGGGAGGAACCCACCACTGAAACAAACTCAGAGAGCATTAAGGACTTTACAGTTCAACCCTGAGCTACAGATGCGCTGTTTATTGGAACCAGACAATCAAGCAGGAAACAACAGCCTAACCAAGGAGCGACCAAGGAGGAAACAACAGCCCCACTAACACTGACAGGGCAAATTACTCTGTGTAAACAAAGAGCAAACCCCATTCCTTCTAGCACTGATGTTGCCTAGCTGAGTAATGAAACATCTGCATGGAAACAATGAAGCTCAGAGAACACCAAAGACCCCCTCCTCCTCCTCCTCCTGTCTGCAAATCCCACTCTCTTCTAGCACTGATGATGTTACCTAGTTGGGTAATGAAACGTCTACAAATAGACAACCAAGTTCAGAGAGGACCAAGGACTCCACAATCAGCTCCTCTTCCTCCTTTCCCCCACAAACCCCCCTCCCTTCTATCACACACAATTCAACTCTTGATCTACAGACATTCTCTTCTACTGGAGTTTTTTTGTCTCTCCGGGAGGAAAGATAGGGAACTTGTGGGACCAGGATTGAAGAAAAAACAGGATCCCTTTATCAACACTCAGTACCCATCGCAGCCTTGGCTGGCTGGTAGCTGAAATATCCCCCCCCTTTTTTTTTTCCCTAACAGCAAGCATTTGCCCAGAGTTGTAAGTGTGCGCACGCACCGCTCTTTTTCCTCTGTGACATCGCAGGGATCCATCAGCTCCGCAGACCAAGGAAGGGCGCCGCACAGCCATTTCACCAGGCAGTAACCCAAGGATTCGAGGTCGCTTCGACGGGACGGAGCTGTTTAAGGAACGAACGAGCAGATCTCCATTAAGAAATATACCGGAAGCAGATTTCCATACTTCCCACCCCACGGAAAGGAGGATGGGATGGAGCACAGTCGGTCACCAGCAAGCTTCTGTTTTTAACAGAGGGCTCAGTGGGGAAGGCACCAGGCTAGAAAGTATTTTTGGGGTCTTTCTTCCACTGACTCACCTAGCAGCAGTGGAACCCACAGCCCCACCCAGCAGGAGCCCGCTGCCGGCCCACTTCTTCTGTGGCCGCTTGTCGCCGCCTGCGCAAGTCACCCCCAGCCTCTGTTTTGCTGTCAGGAATGGCCTCTGCAGCAGAGGTGGGTTCTAAATTTTTTTTACTACCGGTTCTGTGGGCGTGGCTTATTTTGTGGGCGTGGTTTGATGGTCATGTGACAATTCTTTAGGATTTAGCAGAGGTACTGGTCTACCAGGCTTTTAACTGCTTGCAGAGCTGTACCGGTCTACCCATTTGTTCTTGGAGTGCTCCAGTCTACCTATTTATTTTTGAAGGCACCGGTCTACCCATTTGTTTTTCGAGCACACCACACTGCCTTTTAACACTGATCAGCTGTAGGGCGGCCCTTTGAAGCCCCGCGACAGTTTTTTTCCTTCTAGCCGATCAGCTGGGACTCAGGAGGCAGCGAAGAGATTGGGGGCGGGGCCAAATAAAATGTAAGAATAACACGGGGGGGGGGGCAGCTCCCGAACAAAGAGAACCAGTTCGGTGACATCATATTGTCACCGCTACTGGCTTGGCAGAACTGGGCCGAACCGGGAGGAACCCACCATTGCTCTGCAGCCGAGAAACGGGCTCCAGATTGATGCGTGTGGTGCCCCCCCCCCCGGCCTCATTTTGCCATCAGAGGCCCTTCAGGAATGGGCTCTGGAGCCGATAACAGAGCTTCAAGGCAGGTGTCGGGGTGTGCGAGGCCTGGTAGGTAGGGCAGCTCCACCCTAGCTTAATTTTTACCTGTGCACACTGGTGTGGGTGGGGTCTTAACTAGGGCTTATTTTGGGGGGTAGGGCTTATATTGGGTACACGTGTAAAAATCAAGCGAGGGCTTACTTTCAGGGTAGGTCGTATTTTTTGGGGAAACACAGTAGATATAACTGGGGAAAGATGGCCCTTTAAATAACCTGGCCCCAAGCCATGTAGGTTGTGGCCCACTACTGAGTGAGGGGTTGGGGCATACACACGCTTGCAGCCCCACTCGTGCAAGAGGCATCCCAAAGCAGGGGTAAAATCCAGCAGGTTCTGGAGAACCGGTAGCGGAAATTTTGAGTAGTTCGGAGAACTGGCAAATACCCACTCTGGGCTGGTCCCAGAGTGGGGAGGGAATGGGGATTTTGTAGTATCCTTCCCCTGCCATGGCCATCAAGCCACACCACGCCCACCAAGCCACGCCCACAGAACCGGTAGTAAAAAAATTTGGATTTTACCACTGTCCCAAAGGCTTCTTTCTGTCAAGTTTCTGAAAGATGCCCTAATTAATTCATGAGCCATGATCCAAACTTCAAAGGAAATATAGTCATTTTATTAGGAACAACATTCCGGCAATACTCGGATGCAGTTAGGACTGATCCTACGTAGATTTACGTTCCCCTATGACCCTGTCTCTCCCCTCCTCTCTGGCCATGTCATAAATCACATTCTCCAATTAACCACTTTGGCTGGCTGTGAAAACTAACACCCTCCTTCTGATTGCGGTCAGAAAGAATGTATGGAATTCACTTCAGTTCTCCCTCCCTCCTGCTCATGGCAACTTGAAAGCTTTGCAAGTTGACACTTTTGTGTGAATGGAGCTGTGTGTTTGTGTGTGTGCTGGCCCACTGCTTACGCAGCCCAATTCCCCTCTCCAACCCCAGCTGGACCGCCAAGCCGTCTACTCCAAATTCTCCAAAAGCAGAGCATTGACTGAGGCTGCAAGCACAAGACACGTGATCCACTTCTGCAGCCTCAGTGAGTCTGAAGGAGTACAAGACCGTGCTCCAAAGGCTTCTCTTCTCTGTGCCAAATGCTTTTGCAAACAGACAAAAGGTTTTGAGGAAGCGATCTTGCGATGCTTCAGATCTTTGCAAAAGGTTTTGGCACGGAGAAGCCCGAAGGAGCAGAGACCGCACCCCAAAAGGCTTCTCTTCTCTCGTGGGTGACTGAAGCCGTGTGTGTCTGTGTGTCCACTCACACGGCCTGGTTTCCCTTTCTCCCCCACCCCACAGCCAGGCCGCCAAGCCACAAAGTCTGGGGACCAGTGATGTAGGGCTTTCAAGGTGACAACCAGGACCCTGAATTGGACCTGGATGCAAATTGGCAGCCAACACAACTCTCCTGTCATGCCTCATAGGATTCTAAGATGGAAGACGAACAGCTGACAGAGAGCGAGAGTGTGGCTCTGTTGGCTGTGGAGGAAACTGGGGAAGGGCAAAGTCAGGCTGGGCAGAGCAGGGGAGAGGTAGAACAAGGAAGAGAGGGTTCAGAGGAAGACCAAGGCCCACCCTTTCCTCATCCTAGGACACGCAGGGAAGAACGGAGAAGAGAGCAATGTGGGTTGGGAGGAAAGGGGCCCGATTCCTTTCACAAGGCACACCTGGGGATGGAGTTTAAAGGAGAGGCAAATGGGAGGGGCGGTTGCCGGGAACAAATACCCATCTTGTGTTAACTGCTTTCTCTGAGTTCCTGGCGTCCTCCCAACTGGCTTGATTTACTGCCCTGCTACTTCACTTCTGGAACTCCTTATCTTGCTTGCCCTGCCGGATTAATTACTTTAACTTGCCTTGTTGAATTTATAGTTTGCTGCTTATAACGATTGGACTGGAGTATTCTCAGCCAAAGGCTGCTATAGGTTTGCGGGAGTTTTTCTCCAGACCGGAGAGTAAAAGGGACATTGGGGGTGGGGGGGGAGAGGGGGGAGAGGCAAGTTGGAACTAATAAAGGGACTCATACTTATTCTCTGGCTGTGTTGCCTTTGTGCCACACTCCGGGTTGTCACATCTCCCAAGAGAGGTGACGTGGGCAAATCTAGACCTGCGTTTGCAATAGGGTCTCACCAGCTCCCTTGTGGCTGTCCAGGCTGATGAACTCCAAGGTGCCTTCATGAGGGGTCCGACTGCATTCCCGCTGAGGCACGTGTTTCCCTCCAGGGCTGTATCGAAAGGCGAAGCTGAAATCTGCTAAAGTAACCTGGAGGATAAAAACATGAAGAAAAGCAGAAGATCCTCAAAAATGCTACAAGTACGACTTATGGCCACAACCGAGCCCCAAATTTCTGTTGCTGTGAGACCGTTGTGAAGTGAGTAGCAGACACCACAAACGAACGTTAACACTCTACTGTTGAAATTGTAACAATGGAGTCTTAAAAGCTCGACGGCCTTTCTCCATCCCTCGCGCCAAAAAGACTCAAGCTGGGCCAGTCTTGAGTTTCTTCCTCACCCTCTCCCATCTTTTGAGCGAAGCTGCTTTTGAACGGCAGCTTTTCTTCAAAGTCCTCTACAGGTCGTCGCCAAGTTAGGACCACAGCTGAGCCCTGAACTATGATTTTAAGTCACTGTGGTCTTTTAAGTGAGGTGCTCGTGTGACCGCTTTTCTCAATAACCATAATCCAAGCTTTCACCATTACAGTCGTTAAGTGTTTCTTTCCTCTGTAGAGGAAAATGTTTTCTGCATTTTCACTTCTGAATTTATTTATTTTATTTTATTTTATTTTGAATTTGTATACCGCCCTTCTCCCTGAGGACTCAGGGCGGTGAACAGCCAAGTAAAAACATCAAGTACAAATATTAAAATACAGTTAAAATATACATATATAAATTTGGCCCCATTAATTAAAAACAATAAACAAAACACTTAAAAACACTTAAAAAATTAGGCCAGCCCGGCTTGCTGGAAAAGGAAGGAATGCTAACTTTGCCAGCATTTTCGCTGGATCTGAGGCCTGTCCCTCCAAGCATGCAGGAGGATGACCAGTCATAAGTAGAGGACTACCTGTACAACCTGATTAAAAGCCCTGTCTTGTTCTCCTGCCCTCTGGTCCTTGGCATGGGTCAACTCACCGCTGCTAATTCGCCATGGCCAACTTGCGGTGCCCAGCTCACCAGGGGCAATTCCCCGCAGCCAATTCCTGACAGGAAAACTCGCTGCAGGCCAATTCAACCATTTAATTTATTTAAAATAATTTTAAAAATTACTTTAATTTTGTCATTCACATTTCATTTATGAGCCACGGTGGCGTAGTGGTTAGAGTGCAGTACTGCAGGCTACTTCTGCTGACTGCCAGCTGCTGGCAGTTCGAGTCTTAACAGGCTCAAGGTTGACTCAGCCTTCCATCCTTCCGAGGTGGGTAAAATGAGGACCCAGATCGTTGGGGGCAAAAGGCTGACTCTGCAAACCGTTTAGCAAGGGCTGTAAAGCACTGTGAAGCGGTATATAAGTCTAAGTGCTATTGCTCTTTCGTCCCTTCTTTTAAGTCCTTTACTTATTCTATTTCACCGTTTCTTCGATATTATGTAACTTTTGTCCCGTGGCAAGTTGGCCATGACGAGTTGTCCTAGAGACCCCTGCTCCCTGCCTTACCACAGTAAGATCAGCCGGATTCACATAGATGTTTTCAGCAGCCAGATCCCCATGAGTATATTCGTTTTCATGAAGGTACTCCAGGACATCAAGCTAGAGGCAAAGAGAAAGGCAGATGGGAAGTGTCAGCAATGCAAATTCCCATTTTCCAGAACTGCTGCTGGTGCGAACAGTCTTCATCGGTGGGAAGTAACGGGGTGGCGGAAGGAGGTAGCTTTGCCTTATTAATTAATGAAGTTTATATGCCGCCCATCTCACTAGCCAAAGTGACTCTGGGTGGGTTAAGGTGCCATTAAAAACATAAAATATAAAAACAATCAAAATTAAGAATTAAATAAAGGCTAAAAGCCAAGAAGACAAAAGGTGTGGGAGTAGGCTTTTATCTTTCATATAACCAACCATCTCCAGCACGTCAGCAGCCATTCTCAATCCTCCAGGTCGTGGTTGTCCCAAAGAGCCTTGGTGGCGCAGCAGACTAAAGCACTGTTAAGTAACACCAGCTGCCTGCAATTACTGCAAGTTCAAATCTCACCAGGCTCAAGGTTGACTCAGCCTTCCATCCTTTCGAAGGTAGGTAAAATGAGGACCCGGTTTGTGGGGGCAATAAGCTGACTTCGTATAAAAAAGAACACCTCGGGGGGGTGGGGGGCGAAAGCCCTACTAAGCAGGTATATACAAAAGTATGAAGGCTATTGCTTAACGCATTGTTAAAAGGCGGCATATAAATCGAACCAATAAATAAATAAATAAATAAATAAATAAATAAATAAATAAATAAATAAATAAACAAACAAACAAACAAACAAACAAACAAATAAATGTGCTTTTTCAAGAGGCAACTGGACTTCCTTTATTTTTTTCTTGAGGACATTACTCTTCTCAGCCAAGAAACTTCTTATTCAAGAATTGAAGAAGCTTCTTGGATGAGAAGCGAAATGTCTTCAAGGAAAAAACAAAGGAAGTCCAATTCATCTTCTAACGACCACATAATCCAGGAGTGGGCTGCTGGGGGTTCGCAAGGGTTTGGGAGAACCTCTAGCTAAGATTCTGTGCAGTTTGGAGAACCCCCAAATCCCACTCCTGGCTGGCCATGCCCACCCCTGGAGTCCCCACACAGCCTGTTTTGGATGCGGGTAAGTACAGGGCTTGCATGGAGGCTCAGGGAGGGCGAAAAATGGGCCTACCGGAAATTCAGGAAGGCTGGAAACGGGCCCATTTCCAGCCTCTGGAGGGTCTCCAGAGCCTGGGGAGGCTGTTTTTGCCTTCCTGGAGGCTCGGGGAAAGCCTCTGGAGCCCGGGGAAGGCAAAAACACTCCCCCCCCCCGTGGTTCAGGAGGCCAACTAGGCCACGCCCACCATGGCCACACCCACTCAGCAACCAGGCAGAGAACCCCTTGCTAAAATTTTTCAAGCCCACCCCTGCCATAATCCCTTGTCGGGTGGAGTCTGGGCAACTGAATGGAGCTGACTGTTTACTGGCCGGATGCCCTTCCTGTCACCAATGCGGAGTTTTGTTCAGCAGATATATTCTCATCGTGCCCAGAAAGAGAAATATCTGCCTCTACCTAGGATCGAACCACAGCCTCCTGATTGTGAGGCAAGAGCTCCACTTCTAGGCCATGGCACCATTCAAAGGAAGTCCAATTGCCTCTTGAAAAAGCACCTTTGGGACAGTAGAGTCAGTTTTTAACAGTATCTTGGGAATCTCAATTCGCCTCCCCACCGCTTTATACTTATTGGAATTAGTAGGATCCTGTTTGAGATGCTTTCTCAGATTACCATTCTGCCCTGGACTCGGGTTTCTTTTATCTGATCGTTGCCTTAGTAAAAGCTCTTCCACTCCTTTAAGGCCATCCCTTCTGCCCATCAAGAGAAATCCCTTCCCCACCCTGTGCCTTCCTGGCATCCCATACCAGCCTGACTGCAAGCTGCAAAACAGCTTTCTCCGTCATCTTGTTTTTGTTGTCGTCCAGGATTGACTGAAGAGATCGACCCAATTCGGGAAAGACCAGGAACCTGCCAATCAAAGGAGATGGCGTTGAATGTGTGAATCGGGCTGCCCATCACAGTGTGCATCTATCCTTGGCCATCTGTTGGTTAAAAACCACCAGGAATTAGGGAGGCTAGTGTGGTGGAATGTAGCCTGGATTCCCAGGTGGGAGGGGCTGCTTTTCTGAGGTCAAAGAGCATGAAGCTAAGATAGTTTGGTGGGAGAAAGATAGTTAAGAAGGCTCCTCCCTAGCGATTCTCAGAAAATGTGTTTTTTTATATTATTATTATTATTATTATTATTATTATTAGTATTAGTATTAGTATTAGTATTAGTATTATTATTTCTGGTTAATCTTTAGTGAGATTCACAGCCTTTGAGGCTGGTTAATAGCTCAGCAGCTCGAGTCCTAACCAAGGAACTGTTAAGGTATCGTCGGAGGATGTAAGCTGTTCCGAGTAAGGTAGTTTTTTGTAGAGTCAAAATGTTCAAGTCCGGCAAATTTAGAATTTCTAAATAGCGGGGTAGCCCTTTGGGTATTGCTCCAAGGACTCCAATTACAATCGGGACAACACACGATTTCTTTTTCCACAGTCTCAACTTCAATTTTTAAGTCCCGGTACTTTGTGATTTTTTCTTGCTGCTTATCTTCAATCCGTGCATCACCAGGTATTGCAATGTCAATGAACCATACTTTTTTCTTTTCAACTATTGTTATGTCAGGTGTGTTGTGGACCAAATGCCTGTCAGTCTGAATCCTAAAGTCCCACAAGATCTTGAGTTTCTCATTCTCTAAAACTTTCTCAACCTGATGTTCCCAGTGGTTTTTGCTGTACTCAAATCCAAACTTCTGGCACAATTTCCAGTGAATGATCTTAGCAACACGGTCATTATTAATAATTATAATATTTATTATTATTATTATTATTATTATTATTATTATTATTATTATTATTATAGTTTTATTACACACAACATTGGACACGGTATAACCGTCCTGGTATTCTTTTTGCCATACATACTAAAATGAAAGATAAGTATCATATATACCTTACTACTTATATACAATTAGTCTGTTCAGTATTTACATATCTAAAGACATCCTTCTTCTGTCTATATTACTTATACATTTGTTTTATCCATTATCATTCTATTGTAGTTACATACGTAACTTTAATTCTCCATTTTATGAATTCTAGCCAGTTCTTGTTTTTCGACCTTCTTATTCTCTATTCCAACCACTGATACAATTTGTTCCGTATCTCGTGGTATTCTGACTCGCCTTTATTTTTCAGTTCCAAGGTTAATCTATCCATTTCTGCACATGTCAAAAAATTTTTTGATCACTTCATCTTCTAGAGGAGTTTCCTTATTTTTCCAATTTTTGGCAAAACTCATTCTTGCTGCTGTTCTAATATGTATTATTAAGTTACCCCTTTACTGTATTTTCCATTTATTATTCCCAATAGGAATAGTTCTGGTTTATATTCTATTTCTTCTCCAATTATTTCCACTAACCATACATAAATCTTCCGCCAATACTCCTGTGCTTTTTTACGTAACCACCACATATGATAGTATGTGCCTAATTCATGGTTGCATTTCCAACACTTTGGTGATAAATTTCTAAACATTTTTGCCAATCTCGCTGGTGGAAGGTGCCACCTGTAGAACATCTTATATAAATTTTCTTTGAATTAAAAGAACAGGGTACAGACATTGATTGGTGGCCTTACATGCAAATACAATCTAGATATAAGACAGATTTAATACAGTATGGATTTCAAAAAGAAATACACGAATTAGATAAAATTCTTCAAGGCACAGAAGATAAATTGATAAAAAAAATTATAATTATTTATTAAGATATAAAATGGAAGAGGAGGTAGTTAAAGAAAACATGGATGATTTGGGCAAAAAAATTTGGACATAACATTGAATTGGAGAAATGGGAGAAATTATGGAACAAAAGTTACAAACTGACAATGTCTGTAACCTATAAAGAAAATATGTACAAAATGTTCTATAGGTAGCCATCAGCCACCAGCAAGGCTGGCTAAGATGTTTCCCAATATCCCATCAATGTGCTGGAAATGCAAACAGACTGGCTCAAGGTTGACTCAGCCTTCCATCCTTCTGAGGTGGGTAAAATGAGGAGCCAGATTGTTGGGGGGCAAATATGCTGACTCTGTGAACCGCTTAGCGAGGGCTGTAAAAGCTCTATGAAACGCTATATAAGTGCTATTGCTATTGCTAAAAAGCAAAATACAAACTTTTGCTAAATACAAAATGAGAATGGTTGAAGAACCACCTGGATCTATTCAAATCACAGGCCGCGCAAGGGATGGCAACAGAAGAATGGCTTCAGTCGTGCGTCACAAAGTGGAAGATGCCCAGGATTGGTGTGAAACGGGAGGAGGACAGAGATCAAACTCTCTTATCGCTGGGACTCACCTGTAGCTATTCCCATGGACGCCAAAACCAACACATTCAGGTATCCCCAGGAACGGCATTAAATATTGCTTCTTCCATTTCTCCACTGCAGGGAGAGATCAAACGGGACAGTGCAACCAAAGAGAGAGGTAGCACAGCTTGTGCTGACAAGACACCCCTCCCCCCTCCCAAACTGCCCCACATTGGAAGCAGAACAAGAAGAGATTAGAGATTTCACAGCAGGCCAGGAGAAGTTTGAGGATGGTGTCCTGTGTTTGTGTCCCCAAGGCCCACTTATAAAGGGGTGCGGGACTCCTCCAACGTTTGCTTTTACCTGTGACTTTCTTGGCGGCTCGCTGTAGAAAGTTCTGTTCGTTAAACAGCTTTCCCTCTTTGGCAGCCTGAGAAAAGAAAGATAACAGGTAGCACTGAAGTTCTTGGATGAAGACAGACAGACAAATAGATAGACAGGCAGACAGACAGATCAGATATAGATAGATAGAGATAGATAGATTAGATAGAGATAGACTGTAGATATAGATATATATATAGATAGATCTATCTATCTAATCTCTTATCTACCTATATATCTATTAGATATAGATAAGATACACACACACATAATGTACATATATATACACACACACACACATATACATACATATACATATACATACATGTATGTATGTATGTAAGTATCCCAACTTTATTATTTTTACAAATAACTCAAGGAGGCAAACATACCTAACATACTTTTCTCTTCCTATTTTCCCCACAATAACGACCCTGTGGGGTGTGTTGGGATAAGACAGGAGGACTGGGCCAAAGTCACCCAGCTAGCTTTCATGCCTAAAACAGGACTAGAACTCCCAATCTCCCCATGAGTGGCCTCAAGTTACCCAGCTAGTTTTCATGCCTAAAACAGGACTAGAACTCCCAGTCTCCCTGTGATTGGCCTAAAGTTACCCAGATAGCTTTCATGCCTAAAACAGAACTAGAACTCCCAGTCTCCCTGTGATTGGCCTAAAGTTACCCAGCTAGCTTTCATACCTAAGACAGGACTAGAACTCTACTGCTTTCTAGCCTGGTGCCTTAACCACCGGACAATACAGCTTCTCAAACGTCTTAGAGGCAAATGAAGATGCTAATCATTGGAAGGTAGGAAAGGGATATTTGTTTATAGACTCCCAAAGCAGATCCAGAAGACATTAGATCAACTGCATTAGATCACTCAACCAGCCATAAGGAAGACTCAGCATATCAGGTCTAGAATTCCTCCCTACAGCAAGAAGGGCAACGTTCTATAAAGTAAAGGTTCCCCTTGCGCATACGTGCTAGTCGTTCCCGACTCTAGGGGGCGGTGCTCATCTCCGTTTCAAAGCTGAAGAGCCAGCGCTATCCCTAGTTTTAACGTGTAACGGGGTGAGCTCCCGTTACTTGTCCCAGCTTCTGCCAACCTAGCAGTTCGAAAGCACGTCAAAAATGCAAGTAGAAAAATAGGGGCCACCTTTGGTGGGAAGGTAACAGCGTTCCGTGCACCTTTGGCATTGAGTCATGCCGGCCACATGACCACGGAGACGTCTTCGGACAGCGCTGGCTCTTCGGCTTTGAAACGGAGATGAGCACCGCCCCCTAGAGTTGGGAACTACTAGCACATATGTGCGAGGGGAACCTTTACCTTTACCTACTGAAATAGCACCATGCCAGGGGCAAGATTATTGAATGGGGTGGCATCCCTGGCATAATTCCTATCAGAGTCAGGACCAATAATTTGAGATTGGCAGAATTCCTTGCAATTATTTTGTACCTTTTTCTTGGATAAGTCTGGCTAACTCTCCTGGGCTATATACAGTTCAACTCCTCATATCTGGAATTTAACAAATTAAATTACAGGGCCATCTCTCCTGTTTTAATACATTTTGTGTGTCTCTGTTTTATCCCTTCCTGTGGTACTCAATTTTCTTGTCTCGTTTTAAATTTTAGATGTGTATAAAAGATTGGTCGATGACAGTAATAAAACACAAATGCAAGCAATCCTATCTTTTGCAAGCTGAAAATCCAGTAACGGTACCTTATATCTAACCCCAGAGATTTGAACTCACCAGTTTGAGGGTGTATTTGTGCTTTGGTGAGCGTTCAGATGTTAATCTTGCTGTGAAAAAAATAAAATGGCAAATTGGTAGGGAATGCAAGAGAGGTACATTTATAGGCCCTTAAATGTGCGGGATCTGACAGAGCTTAACAGTTTGAGAAAAATGGAAATATTGACAATATTTCAGCCTACTACTCCTTCAGTTTATTTTAAGGTTTTTCTTGATTAAATAAGACTCCAAACTCAGGGAGGGAAATCCTATCATTTTCACAACAGGTTCACCTTCAGAAAAATATAGAGCACCAAGCTGCAGGTTTTCTCCCCCGCCCCACAAATGGGTGATCCTCCTGAATACCTTCATAGATCAGCCCACGATCCGACTGGCTCAGAAGCTTCATTAGCATCCACTGTTTATTGTTCAGGTCTGTCAAGATTTCACCATCTGGCAGAGGTTTTACGCAAGGACATCTTTCCTTCTTTGGTGATCGGAAAGCCGTCTTTCCTTCACAAGGAGAGATGATGATTTTGACTGGGCATCAAGAGCAGATGCGCTTCTATTCACCAAAACCCACCCAAAAGGTCTTGAGGAGATCCAGGATTTTCCCACCCGTCATGTTCTCCAGCGGAAGGGTGGATAAAAGGGAGGAGGACAGGTAGCCCTCGAGTTATGACCACAATTTTGTCTTTTAATGACCCCGTAATCCCTTACTGGGGTGGAGTCCGGGCAACTGAATGGAGCTGAGTATTTACTGGCCGGATGCCCTTCCTGTTGCCAATGCAGAGTTCGCAGCAGATATATTCTCATCGTGCCCAGAGAGAGAAATATCTGCCGCTACCTAGGATCGAACTGATTGTGACGCGAGAGCTCCAGCTCTAGGCTGCTGCACCACTCAAGTTATAACCACAATGGAGCCCAACATTTATGTTGCTACGTGAAACATTGGTTAAGTGAGTTCCCCCTCACTTGGGAACCCCTGTAATAAGCGCAGGCTACAAAAGTCAAGGGATAAGATTAGTGTCCCTCCATTTTGGAAACTTGGAAGAGGTGTGAACTTCAATTCCCAGAATTCCCCAGCCATGCTGGCTGGGGAATTCTGGGAGTTGAAGTCCACACCTCTTCAAGTTGCCAAGATTGAGCAGCACTGCATAACATCAATAAATAAGCTTAACATTGGCATTTGTGATCCAGCCATTGCTATTAGCTTCAACACTCACGTCTAATTAGCATCGCTAATCCTGACCACGTCCATAAATCCTTACCTTTTGCCTTTGGAGAAAAGTATGCCGTTGAGCTCTGGGGAGAAGCTTTAACAGAGGTTGAAGACATTTCCTTTTTCGGAAAAACTATCTGCACCTTTTTCTTGTCAGGCAGTGGCGGCAGCTCAACCTGGATGTCCTGGTTTAATTCTGAGCAAGAAGAGGAGAAGACGCTGTTGCAACAGCCAAAATGTTCACCGCTAAGTTCACCCAAACCAGAAAAATGCAGTATGCTTGAGCAGCTATGGGTAGAGAACGGGACCGATTAACAGAGTTGGAAGGGACCTTGGAGGTCATCTAGTCCAACCCCCCCACCCAAGCAGGAGACCCTACACCAGTTCTGACAGATGGCAGTCCAGTCTCTTCTTGAAAGCCTCCCGTGATGAAGCTCCCACAACTTCCGAAGGCAACTTCTGTTCCATGGGTTGATTGCTCTCACTGTCAGGAAATTCCTTCTTATTTCTAGGTTGAATCTCTCCTTGATCAGTTTCCATCCATTATTCCTTGTCTGGCCTTTGGGTGCTTTGAAAAATAGGTTGACCCCTCTCCTCTCTGTGGCAGCCCCTCAAATAAAAGAGCAACAAAGATGATTAGAGGGCTGGAGGCTAAAATACATGAAGAACGGTTGCAGGAATTGGGTATGTCTAGTCTAGTGAAAAGAAGAACTGACGTGACATGATAGCAGTGTTCCAATATCTGAGGAGCTGCCACCAAAAAGAGGGAGTCAAGCTATTCTCCAAAGCTCCTGAGGGCAGGACAAGAAGCAACGGGTGGAAACTCATCAAGGAGAGAAGAAAGCTGGAACTAAGGAGAAATGTTCTGACAGTGAGAACAATTAATCAGTGGAGCGGCTTGCCTTCAGAAGTTGTGGGTGCTCCAATACTGGAGGTTTTTAAGAAGAGACTGGACAACCATTTGTCAGACATGGTATATGGTCCGCTGCTTGACCAGGGGTTGTACTAGAAGAATAGAATAGAATAGAATAGAATAGAATAGAATAGAATAGAATAGAATAGAACAGAATTTTTTTATTGGCCAAATGTGATTGGACACACAAGGACTTTGTCTTTGGTGCATACGCTCTCAGGGTACATAAAAGACAAGATACATTTGTCAAGAATCATAAGGTACAACACTTAATGATAGTCATAGGGAAACAGTCATTATAAATCTTAAGGATACAAGCAACAAGAAGGGTCCCTTCCAACTCTGTTATTCTGATAAGAAAAGCAGACCCTACAGAGAAACTATGATTAGATGCACAGCGGTTAAAACAGTACCTAGAAGAATGCTGCAGCTTGGGTTAATGGGCAAGCAGGGGCCTAGGTGCTATAGATCATGCTAAGGACACCTGAACACCATTACTTGTACACTTGCTATTTTAACGATCCATCCATCCATCCATCCAGTATTGCAGGCTGACTCTACCCACTGCCAACAGTTCGATCCTGACCGGCTCCAGGTTGACTCAGCCTTCCATCCTTCCGAGGTTGGTAAAATGAGGACCCAGATTGTTGGGGGGCCAGAGGCTGACTCTGTAAACCACTTAGAGAAGGCTGTAAAGCACTGTGAAGCGGTATATAAGTCTAAGTGCTATTGCTACTGCTTTGCTCAAACAATAGTTATTGATTGGCCCTTCGCCGAGTAAACGAACCACAGATGGGCTCTTTGGCCATCAATTGAACCAGCATTCCTTACAAGCCACAAGGACACTGCTTATATCATGATTTTATCCCGCAAAGAAAGGTACAGGTAATCCTCAGCTTACAAGCATTCATTTAGTGACCGTCTGAAGTTACAATTCGACTTACAACCATTCGTTGAGTGACCGTTACCAGTCACAATTACAAGAAAAGAGTGACTTATGATCGGTTTTCACACAACAGTTGCTGTATCCTCAGAGTTACATGATCATAATTTGCAGGCATGGCAACTGGCATGTATTTATGACAGTTGCACTGTCCCAGGGTCATGTGATCACAATTTGTGACTTTTCCAACAAGCAAAGTCAATGCCAGATTTGCTTAACAACTGCCATGATTCCCTTAACTACAATGGTTCACTTAACAAGTGTGGCAAAAAACATCATAAAATGGGGCATGACTGATTTAACAACTGCCTTGTTTAGCAATGGAAATTCTGGGCTCAATGGTGGTTGTAAGTTGAGGACTACTTGTATTAAGTAATTTGCGCCACGATATCCACGGTGAGCATCTCCAGAGGAAGGGGGAACGACCTCCTCTTAGCCGATTTCTAGGCCAGCGAGATTTCTCAGACTTCAACGAACCATATGTTTGATGATGAATTTCACACACCTTTCAGAGAAGGAGACGGGGTGATCTGCATTGGCTCGTCCTCTTGAACCGGGAGCCGTCCTCCGCAAGCCGGACAGAAGTGAAACATTTCCTCGACTTTCTGTCCACACTGTGGACAAAAATTGACCATCCTGGAAAAAGTCACCGAGAAAGAAAAAGGAAGGTCAAATCACGACGCATACCAAAAAGCTGTACGTGCCCAGAAAGAAAGTAAATTTTAATATATATACAGGCTGAGTACCGCAGTGAACTCCCTAGTAGTCTTTAACTACCAAACTTTATTAGGGTGGAGAAAAGAGAAGTCCATATAACAGAAAAAAAAGGGGAAGGGTATAATGACACCCACTTTTTAAAAAAATGTCCCAAGGTTCTTTACAAATTTGAAATAACCACAAATTACATGTTTGGCTCTCGGTGTTCTCTAAGTCTATTTCTCTTTGGGGGATGAAGGTTCATTATCTGAGCTTGTGAGTTGATTTCCGAATGTTTCATTACCAGGCTAGGTAACATCTTCAGTGGAGTTTAGGGCAGTGGTGAATTCCACATTTTTTTTTACTAAGGTTCTGTGGGCGTGGCTTGGTGGGCATGGTGTGGCTTGGTGGGCGGGGCTTGGTGGGCATGGTGTGGCTTGGTGGGCGTGGCTTGGTGGGCATGGCAGGGGAAGGATACTGCAAAATCTCCATTCCCTCCCCACTCCTGGGGGAAGGATATTGCAAAATCTCCATTCCCACCCCACTCTGAGGACAGCCAAAGGTGGCATTTGCCAGTTCTCCGAACTACTCAAAATTTCTGCTCCGGTTCTCTGAACTACTCAAAATTTCCACTACCGGTTCTCCAGAACCTGCTGGATTTCACCCCTGGTTTAGGGGATGTCATTGTATATTCTTCTGTTTATAAACTCCCCTAAACTCCGCTGAAGATATTACTGAGCCTGGTAATGAAATGTTCGGAAACCAACCCACAAGCTCGGAAAACGAACCGTCACCCTCATCCCACGCCGGAGCTACAAATATTTGCCACCATGGCTACTTCTCTTTCTCATGATCAGGCCTGAAACCCCTGCAGAAGACAAGCAAACTTTGGCACACCAAGGAAACAACCCTACCTTGACCTACAAATATTTTCCACCTTGGCAAATTGTATTTGCTACTTTACGCACAATCCATAGTGGTCAAAAATATCCTTTCGGGAGAAACCTTCATGTTCATGAGGCAATTGGAGTTTCTGGTTTTTCTTTGAAGACGTTTTTCGCTCCTCATCCAAGAAGTTTCTTCAGCTCTGGCTGGATGGTGGGGAATGGAAGGATTTATATTATTTGTAGAAAGCTGGTCATTTGCATCCTTTCAGAGGTTCTTTTGAAGACAACAAAGTCCATATTTTGGACAAAGAGGATCACTGGTTTGAAAGAGGGGTCTAAGAGGCCATCTATGTCAAAATTGAGCAGCCCTCACTCAACAAAGGGATGGGGGATACAACATCATCTATCTCCTATCTACAACACTATCTTTCAACAGTTCCAAGAAGGCTCCACACCCATTTGCAACACTCAGGTGACCCTGACGACACAGGTAAACCTCCAGGTGACCCGCTAAAAGAATGCCAATGACCAGCTGTCTGCAAGGAGTATAAATCCTTCTATTCCCCACCACCCAGTCAGAGCTTAAGAAGCTTCTTGGATGAGAAGCGAAACATCTTCAAAGAAAAACCAGAAAGTCCAGTTGCCTCTTGAAAAAGCACCTTTGGACAACCCATGACCTGGATGATGGAGAATCTCCATAGTCCTTCATGTTCATGAGCTTTCTATGAAAAGGTAAGACCAAACAGGGTTTTTGTAGGCCTTAACACCTAGAAAAGTACCTATTGTTTACAAAATAACATTCGAGCTCGCTTAATTTTTGCTTAATATCTTTTGCACAGTCAAACAATTGCACTTCCTTTAAGAATAGAATAGAATAGAATAGGGAACAGAATAGAATAGAATAGGGAATAGAATAGAGAAGAGAAGAGAAGAGAAGAGAAGAGAAGAGAAGAGAAGAGAAGAATAGAATAGAATTCTTTATTGGCCAAGTGTGATTGGACACACAAGGAATTTGTCTTTGGTATGCATGCTCTCATACATTCATCAAGAATCATAAGATACAACACTTAGTAATAGTCATAGGTTACTAATAAGCAATCAAATCATACTAGGAAACAAACAGAACAATATTTATACATATTTATAATTTTAAATAAATATATTATATTTATAATATAAATTGTAAACATGCAACATGGTTATAGTCATAAGTGGGAGGAGATAGGTAATAGGAAGGATGAGAAGAATAATAGTAATAGAGTTCTTAATAAATGGTTTGAAAGTGTTGTAGGAATTAGTTATAATCTATGATTATATTACAATCTATGATTATTAATCATAATCTATGATTATGCAAAGTAAGGGGGTTGATTAGATCTGGAGATCTGCAGGTTGTCATTGTCCAGCTACTCTGAAGTTTCTTTCTTCTACTTAATGTTTCCAACCCTGGCAACGTGAAGATGCGTGGACTTCAACTCCCAGAATTCCCCAGTCAGCTCCCCGTATCCCCTAGCAACGCCAAGACACGCGGGCAAGGGTACTGGGTCGGAGGCTCAGGCCTATCCAGAGACCTAAGAACCGGGCAAAGGGGCTACCCACCCAACGCCGGGCCCGGAGATCCTCTTGACGGCCGCGTCGCCCTCTTCGGCCCGCGACCGCCGTTTCCGAGCCGCCCCGCCGGATTTCATAGCGGCGTCGGGGAGGCTAAGGAAGCTTTCACTTTCGTTTTCGCTGCGTCAGCGCGTCCGGGCTTCCGGTGCATGGCCACGCCCCCGGCAGTTTAAAAACCTACTTAGAACTCGGGGAGGGGCGGGGAGGAACTCTTGGATCATAGAGAGCAGCTGGTCCTCCAAGATAGAGGGGCGGACCAAGCAGTACCCAATGATGCTGTATGGAAGTCATGACTTTGCCCTATAGGCCTCGTTGGGCCTCTGCAGTACCTCTGTCAGCCACCAGGGGCAGAACGTACCAAATGCATTTTTTCTCCCCTATTTTCCTCACTAAAAAAAACCAAACTGGGCACCGAGCTCTGAGGCGGCCAATGACTTTGATTTATATCTCAATTTTATTATTTTTTTCCCAATAAATAACTCAAGTCGATGAACGTCCATAATATTCTTTCATCCTATTTTGCCCACAAATATAGATTCCCCATTGAACCTGCAGTTACACCCAGGAGCCACTAGGGGGTGGATGTGTCATAAACACAATCTTTCATTTTCGTAAGATAAAACACAATATATGGGGCCTATATTTTCCTCTTTGGAGCCTGGAATGTGTGAATGAAACCATCAGGGGGTCAAGTGTATTCTGTACTTTTAACTTATTGCCCTATTTTCCCCATCTAGGATCTGGAATACGCAAAGGAGACACCTCATGTCTGGCATCCTTCATTGGCCTCGGCACCAGACTCAGACCTGAATTGGGGACAACATAAGTGCAAATCCATTCATTTCAATAGGTGATTTGCTGATAACTGGCAAAATCAGTCATGTGATTGCAGAGCGCTGCAGTCTCAATGACCAATTACCAAGCACCCAATATGCAGTAATGTGATCATGGGAATGTGTTTATGTGTGACCATTTACAATGGCTGAAGGTTGTGTGTCTGCTTTATAGGGAGGTAAAGCATCCATTCTGTGGCCGCCATAAGTACAGGTGGCCATGTTGTGGTCCGCCAGCAGCCTGCGGAGCTGGCAGTGGAGTCAGACAGTGAGGAGGCTGGAGAGGAACATGGGCCAGTCCTGGAGTCTGGGGAAGGCCCGGACAAGGTCTCTGCGCCGGAGGCAGAGATGGGGCCAGGGCCAGGGTCATCTGGGAGTGATGCGTGGACTCCGGAGTCCTGAGTTGGACAGTAGGGAGGAAGAGGAACAGGAAGAGCCTATTCCTAGTGCATGCATGCGCAGAGCTGCCAGAAGGCAAGAGCAGCTAAAGCAAAAGGGACAACTTGGGAGTAAGGCCAGGAGATGATTGGCCCCACCCATAAGGCTTAAAAGAGAAACAAAGGCACTTGGGCCTTTTTGCAGAAAAGCAACGTTGCTAACTCTATTTCCAGTCGGCATCTTGTTTGTTTCTGAACTTCATGGGGCTTTGCCAAGTAAGGCCTGTGTCAAAGAAGGTAAAGGCTGGTGATTATCCCGAAGGACTTCTTCGGAAGGACTTGTTTTGTAACTAATTGGGACTCAGCTGGGAATGAATGTAATTCTCAGCTGTTACAATAAAACAGGTTTATTTGGGACCAATTGTGTCTTATAATGACTCAGTAAGCCTAGGTCACAACAGGCCATAAGTGGAGCACTGCACAAAGCAAACCCATTGAACCACAGAGCATGGTTAAGCATGCCAGTTTAACCTGACTTTTCAGGCTCCAGTTGTGTCAAGGCTAAAACAACTTTTGTGATTATAATTCACCCACCCCGTTAAGATATTGAAACACTTCAAAGTGATGCATCATAAAGACTCAGGAGTTTGTATACAAAGTTCGTTTTTATATATAAAAAAAAATCACTAGCCAACATGAACGTTCATTAACATTAATCTCTTTTTTTTAAAAAAGAAAACATTGACCAGGTCCAATATTCCTCAAATTCACGCAGTCTTCAAACACAAGCCTTTTTTAAAATCTTGGTAGACAGTTTATGGAGGCATAATTCATTGAAAAAAAATACATTTTTTTTTCTCCAGGCCCCAATTGGACAATACAACAAATAACTAAAAAACAAAAAACATTATTTCAAGGTCTCCTGGTCACGTAAAGATGGAAAGGTGGTTATTTTTCAGTGATCATTCAACTCGAAAAGAAAGTGGTTTGTTTCTTCAAGTTCATTCAAGCCCATTTAAAATGCCATATTACATATTTGACAACTTGTGGGCTCTGCTTATTGACCTCAACCTATTCTTTTTTTTAGGGTTTTTCAAAATTTCTACCCTATTAAATTGATCAACGCGGGCGTCATTTCCATCAACGGGCTCACAATCGCAAAGATTGTGCTCTTTGCGATTGTGGTGGCAGAAAAACACCACATATTGTATACCTGTCCTTTGTGCCCCGAACAGTGTATACTTTAGGACCTCATGGCAACATGATAGAACACAATTAATGTTGCTAATTCCAAGACAAGAACTGTTTAATTTGTACGTTTTAATCTTGGGTTTTTTTATATTTTAAATTTCATGTCATATGCCTTGTTTTAACTGTGATGTTTCCGACACAAACAAACAAACTAAGGTCACAAAACCTGGGTCCCCCTTGCTCCACAGAACACTGTTGTCGTCACAGTTGTGTGGCCATGGGCGTGCATTTTTAGGAGGAAAGGAACAAGTAAAATCAAAGAAAGTAAGGAGCAAGCAAAGAAGGACATAACACAATAGTAAGGAGCAAGCAAAGAAGGAAATAACACAATGGCAAAGGAACACTTGGGAAAGAACGTTGTTAAGAAACAGTAAAGGATAGGATGCATTTGCTAAATAACTTTATGACACTCGTCCACAAGTCACGTCGATCATTTTGAACAGAAAGGCAGGAAACATCAACTATACGGGGAAAAAAATTGGTAAACAATCACGGCCTATTCTTCATTGAATGGCAGAATCCGGTTACAGGGCAGTATTTCTCAACCTCATCCATTTTAAAATGTGCGGACTTCAACTGGCTGGGGAATTCTGGGAGTTGGAAGTCCGCGCGTTTTAAAATGGATGAGGTTGAGAAATGTTGCTCCAGACCATCCTTCTCCTAACCTGGTGCCCTCGAGTAGCTTCACCGACTTGGAAAAAAAGGGGTCACATTAGAAAAAACAATTTGAGATAACCAAGAGTTTGAACGAGGTAGTATCCCCCCTTCATCAAAATAAGACTGGACAGTTCCAAGCTGCCAAGAAAACAGTGCTCCACACCCTCTCAAGATGAGGTCCAGACTACAATATCCAGCCCACCTTTTATCAAGATCTACAGAGAAGATCCATCAATGAGATATTTCTATTTCAGAAGATGGCCAAGGGTCTATTTGTATGTGCGTACTAATCTGGTCTTCTTCATTTCATGGAGAAGTTGCTCTAATAGCAAGGGAAAGAGATAAATTTATAGAGAATTTCTTCCGAATTTGTAAGAAGATCGGGGTGAAGCGCTGAGCTGTACGATGTGGAACGTGAACCAAGATTGACTTGGTTAACCTTATCTGGCACACAAGCAAGCCCAACATCTCCTGGGAAAGACTATGATTTGGTCTTGGAGGAGAGGTATGTCTTCCATGTCTTGGGTTGCATGTCTTAGCACCTTCACTTTTGATTTGGCTATCGTGGTGGGATGTAGCGAGGGCAACAACCTCAAGAAAAGTTGACCGTTGTTAGGGGAGTCAGGAACTACCATGGGAAGCGGCGTAGAGTGATGCCCCACAACATCCAAGATACTTGGTACAACAACTTCTCATGCTTTGAAGGATTCTGACGTTCTGAGAAACAGCCTCTAAAGGTTCAAGCTTCAACGAACTTCCGGCTTTCACACCGCCTTCAAAGGCTTAAGAAACCTAAGTGGCTCTTCTCTTCTTCACTGTATGGCGTCACGTTCTTCCGCTTGGCTTGTCTCCTGCTCGGCCGGCCGTTGGCAGAATGTAAACATGATTCTGAGCGCGAAGGCAGCGGTAGGATTTTATCCTTCGCCAGCCTCAGTGGTTGCCCCAAACCATTGGCTTTGAGAAATGTGCTGAAGTTGCCATTGGTAGCAGAAGGAGGGCTGGTACTATTGACCGAGGCGTAGCCCGAACTGGCTTCCCCGGGAGAGGCTTGCACGATGGCGAACTTGCTCTCCTCCTTGTTGGGATGATGGTCATAATCCTTGAAGATGTACTGACATCCTTCTTGGGGAAGGCTCTCATCATCGCTGGATTCTTGGCAACAGCAAGGCTTCCTGAGGTCCTGAGGCGGTAGAGTTCCATCCAGAATTCCAGTAGGAGCTGTAACTATATCGCGGGGGAAACAGAAGAAGAAAAACTCTTAAAATAAGATGGTCAGTGTTCTGACCCAGTCTGTGCATACCATACACACATCTGGGACAGGCCCCAGCTGTTCCTCCCCCTCCCTCAGCTCAGGCCCTGAAAACAGTTCTCTCTCTCTCTCTCTCCGCAGGCCCCCATCTCCATCTCCTCTGACTCATCTGATTCGACTGCCAGTGAACCACAACAGTCCAAATCAGACCCAGAAGACCAGGTCTACATGTGAAGGTCCAATTAAACTGATTTATTATTCTTCATCCCTATGCAAAGGAATCTTCTCAATGAACGGTTAGCATCTAACTGTAGTTAAGATAAGGGTCAATGGCACTCAAGGAGATTTGTGGCTACATAGAGATTCTAGGCTGAACCCTCTTTTGACTCCACCCCCAGGTTCTGCCACTTCTGCTCCAGTCAAACACACGTGAGGAATTCAAAATTAGGCCAGGGCAATTTGCTTTTGTGTTTTAGAGCCAGCCAAGTGGATTTCCCTAAAATAAATCAACAACAAAATTCAGCAAAAGGTTTACTTCCCTTTTATGTTACAGGTAGTCCTTGACTTACAAGCATTCGTTTAGTGACCGTTCGAAGTTACAACAGCACTGGTCTGCAATGATTGTTAAGTGCACGGACTAGTTGTCACTTTTTAAAAATGCTGTTATAATTACGAATGATGGCTAGACCAATGATTAAGTCAAAAATATTCTGCAATAGGCAGCCTGCAAGTGCGAGTTCTGACTTAAGCACAAATTTGAATTAAAGATGGAGTTAGAAACAGAACTGTTCTTAACTCAGAGACCACCTGTATCCAAAGCTGCATTAATGAAATTATGATCCAGGCACAAGAACAAGAACAAAGGACATCCTGAAACTTGCATTTTTACAATGGAGATAACATTAGAGGAGAGAAACGGGCTCCTTACCTTCTCCCTCCTTCTCGCCTTCGCTTTCTTGATCTCCTTCATAGCCTGAACAAGCATCCAAGCTCCAATCCAGAAAATTATCCAGAAGACTTTCTTCCTGAGTGGACAATTCCGCCGTGGGGGTAGTAACAAAGCTACCCCGGTCCTCCTGGATGCTGTCTTCCCTCCTCCTGTGAAGGGAACACACCATGAATGACCCTCTTGGTCAGAAGACCTGAGGGAAGGATGAGATTCTACATCTGGAGATGTAGAAAGGCGGTCCAAATCCAAGGCCTGGTGCTTGTAGGCACATGTGAGAAGAGTCAAGATGGCCACTGCAACCAGATCATGCAAATGCATGTAAAAAGGAGGTGGGGCTTTGCAATAGCATGACTGTAGATTCATCTGCAGATCCATCTGGGCGGGATAGACATTTTTCTTTATGTCCATCCCACCCCATGAACTGGAATATAACCTGGTTTTTTTTGTTTTGTTTTTTTACAATCTAGGTGGCTGTGGGATCTAAATTGAGACCTCAACCTGCTGCTCCCCCAAAGCCGATCGTAGTGCAGGGTGAGACTCATTACGAGGTGAAGAAGATTTTGGACTCTAGATTGCAGAGGGGACGTTTGCAATATTTGGTTCATTGGAAGGGATACCCCTTATCTGAAGCCACGTGCGTGAAGAGTTGGGATGTTCAGGCAGACACCTTAGTTAGGCAATTTCATAAATTCCCTGATAAGCTTAAGGGTCCTCCTGGGTGGGATTTGGGGGAGAGGTGGTTAAAGCCTTGGTAGTACAGTGGTCTAAGGCACCCTGTTATTAAGGTGGTTATTAAGACCAGCTGCCTGCAATTAGTGCAGGTTCGAATCTCGCCAAGGCTCAAGGTCGACTCAGCCTTCCATCCTTTCTAAGGTAGGTAAATTGAGGACCCAGTTGTGGGGGCAATAAGATGACTTTGTATAAATATACAAAAGGATGAAGGCTATTTCTGAGCGCATTGTAAGCCGCCCTGAGTCTCCAGAGAAGGGCGGCATATAAATCAAATTAAAAATTTTTTTAAAAAATGTGCTAATTGTGTCTGAGGCCCTCAGAGGCTGGAAATACCCTGTTTGCTGACTTCCGGTGGGCCCAGAAGGCCCGAAAATCAGCTGACCGGCACATATATGCGTGCCAGAGTTGAACTAGGGCAACGCTCGTGTGCCCAACAATATGGCTCCGCGTGCCATCTGTGGCACGTGTGCCATAGATTCGCCATCACGGACCTAGAACCTAGAACCACCAGCTCGGCCCAAAGCAACTCCTGTTCCTGTTTGGAGTTTGGAGACCGAATTCCAGCTGCCCCTGCAGTGTCCACCCTCCTGCCAATTCAACTGGAAGTAAGCGAAGTCCCGAACTTGCCTTTTAGAACGTTTTCCAGATGGGGAAGTCAGGAAGGTCTCCACCGCGTTCACGTACGAAGATCCAGGCTCTGGGTCTTCCTGTTTCACTCCTAGCAGGGAGCAGAGCTGGCTGTAGCTCATCACCTAGAACAGGGGTGTCAAACTCGATTTCATTGAGGGCCGCATCAGGGTTGTTTGGTTTTTTGGGGGGTGGGCATGGCTAGGGGGTGTGTGGCCAGCTCAGCATCACTCGTGTCGGGGGTACCTGTGGTGGCCAAGTGCTGAGGCAGGACTTCCCCTCAGACCCCCCCTCCTCACTCTCATTATAATCTCCTTCCTTCCTCCTTCCCTCTTCATTCTCCTTTCTTCTTCCTTCCCTCTTTTCTCTTCTTCCCTTCCTTGCTCTCTTCCCGTCTTCCCTTTTTCTTTGTCTTTCCTCTTTCCTGTCCCTTTTGTTCTCAAACATTTCTCCTTTTGTTTTGAGTTTGTTTTGATAGCCTTCTGCCAACGAAAACGGAGCTCGAGGGGGCCAAGCGCGCCCCTCGAGCCCTGTTTTTGGCTGCAATGGCCTCCTGCAGCCCCAGGGGCCCATTTTTGCTGGCAGAGGGCCGTCGCGGCTGAAAAAGGAGCCCGGAAGGGCTGTGCACGGCCCTCCCAAGCTGTTTTCACTGGCAGAGGGACCATGGGCCAGTCTTTTACTGTTTCCAGGGTGACCCCGTGGGCCAGATCTAAGCACCCCATGGACTGGATGCGGCCCAAAATCCCTCCCTCCCACGATTTCTCCACCTAGCCTACCTCTTCTTTTCCAATTTCTTCATAGCGCTTATCCTCAAATCTTTGCTTCACAGCAGTCAGGGATACCTGCCTGTAATCTTTGGGAGCATCTTCATGGAAGCTGGGAAGAGAAAAACCATCTCCATGAATGTCCAAAATAGCCACGGGTATCAGAATTCCTTCACTTTCCCTGGCCTGGGATCTCCAGGTAAGTTTGGCTGCAGCCTCCCCTGTTCCCAGGTAACCTGGTTATCATTTCTACCTGATAACAATCCCCCCAGCAGGAGGAACTCACATCGAGATCAGCGCTTTGGGGGGGGGGGGGGGGGGGGTCCTTGGTGGTCTCTGAGCTTGGCTGTTTTCTTGTGGACGTTTCATGACCCAAACTTTTTTTTTGTATTTTTTAAAACTTTATTTATTGTTATTGTTATTACTTTACGTGATGGTTGTGAGCCGCCCCGAGTCCTCCGGAAGAAGGGCGGCATATAAATTTTAATAAATAAATAAATAAACAAACTGGGTGTCAGCGTCCCAGCACTGACATATATAAGGAGAGGAGAAGCTTGAACTTTTGCCTACTTCATTCCTTTGAAGATTCTGTCTCCTCGGAGATGGGAGGAGGGGGACATTCCTGTGACCTGACGGAGAAGGGATGAGGAAAGTGGCTTGGAAGATAGCCAATGAGACGCAGAGAATTGGGGATCGGAAAGGGAGGGATTGGGGGGCAAAGGTCAGTACTGACCGCGCAAGAGCCAGGGACAGATCACTATGCTCAATAAAGAGAAAATTTCCTTAAAGATCGGCAGTTTGGAAATTCCTTTATTTTGAGATAGCATCGAAACCTGACACTGGGTAACATCATCAGTGCTAGAAGGGAGTGGGGTCGGCTCATTTTATATATTAGTGGCTTGCTCTGGGTCTCCCACCCATACGGACAGATCAAGCCACTACCGTAATATATAAACCCAACTCCCTTCTAGCACTGATGGCGTTACTTAGTTGGGTCACGAAACATCTGTATAAATACAACCAAGCTCAGAGAGCACCAAGGACCCACAGTCCTCCTCCCCCAAACACTGATGATGTTACCAAGTTGGATAATGAAACATCTACGAGAAAACCACCAAGCTCAGAGAGCACCAAGGACCTCTCATTTCAACCCTGAGCTACAAATATTCTCCTTTATTGGGATCAGCTCTTGCCTGATTTAGAGAACAGCTTTTATCTGTGGGCTGTCAGACTCCTCAATGCAACATAACATCATAAGCATGTAGTAATGATAGTTACTATAGTTATGGTGCAACATGTCCATATTGGTGCAATATATTAATAATGCAATGTTACGCACATATATGTATAGGGCAGGGGTCTGCAACCTTAAACACTCAAAGAGCCATTTGGACCTGTTTCCCACAGAAAAGAAAGTACCGGGAGCCACAAAACCAGGGGTGAAATCCAGCAGGTTCTAACAGGTTCCGGAGACATTTTGAGTAGTTCGGAGAACCAGCAAATACCACCTCTGATTGGTCCCAGAGTAGGGTGGGAATGGAGATTTTGCAATACCCTTCACCTGCCACACCCACCAAGCCACGTCCACAGAACCGGTAGGGAAAAATTTTGAATTTCACCCCTGCACAAAACGCTTCCCGTGCCTGACTATTTCTCGAGCGGCCATAAAACTAGCATATGTAGCTGAATTAAATGTTCAGTTTTCTTCTGAAACTTTTCTTTTCTTGGATTTATCCATGGTTGGGCTTTCGGGGGTTGAAAAGCTCAATAAATTGCGTGCCGGTGGGTGTCGCACATTGGTGGTTGTGACGCATATTTTGAATGACAGGGGAGCCGCAGCAGAGGAGCGAAAGAGCCACCTGCGGCTCTAGAGCCGCAGGTTGCTGACCCCCGCTATAGAGGATTGTGTGTTGTTAGTATGATTTATTGGGTTAGGTATTTTCTTTCTTCCACTGTGTTATTGATATGTATTTATGTTGGGTGTGTGTGTATGCATGAAGGGAGGCTCAGCCAATCTCATTGCACTCGTGTTGTGCATTGATAATAAAGGTTGAATTGAATTGAGAGCACGTCTTGTTGTTTTTCTCAATGGAAAGAGAAACCCAACCCATCACTCAATGAAGTTCCAGTTTTGTGAAATCCTTTCCCTGCCCAAAAGGTTTACCATTTTTTGTGGAGACTCAGAACACAGGGAATCAGCTCTTCGAGGGAAAATCCTGTATTTTCCGTTAACTGGCTAGTCCAAGGACGAGCTGGAGACAGGACAAACAAACAAACAAACAAAAAAAAAACACACACATCAATATTGCTATTTTTTTTTTTTAAACCTTCTGCACAATTTAAGCTTAACTTTATCTCCACTCGGGAATACAAGCAGACCACACAATTGAGCCCGGCATTTCTGCCGCTAAGCAAGACAGTCGTAAAGCGAACCGTGCTCCCATTTTATGACCTCTCGTCACGGTCGTTAAGCAAATCAACACAGTTAAGTGGCTCGTGGGGTCATTAAACGAATCTGGCTTCCCCTATTGACTTTGCTTGTCAGAAGATCTCCAAAAGTGATCCTACAACTCCGGGACAATGCAACCGTCAGAAACATGAGTCAGTTGCCAAGCATAAAAAAAAAAAAATGTTTTAAATTTTTTTATTTATATATTTTCCGGGACGTGGTGGCTCAGTGGCTAAAACGCTGAGCTTGTTGATCGAAAGGTCGGCAGTTCAGCGGTTCGAATCCCTAGTGCCACATAACAGGATGAGCTCCCGTTACTGGTCCCAGCTTCTGCCAACCTAGCAGTTCGAAAGCACGTAAAAAAGGCAAGTAGAAAAAATAGGGACCACCTTTGGTGGGAAGGGAACAGCCTTCCGTGTCCCTTTGGCGTTATGTCATGTCAGCCACATGACCACGGAGACGTCTTCGGACAGCGCTGACTCTTCGGCTTTGAAATGGAGATGAGCACCGCCCCCTAGAGTTGGGAACGACTAGCACATATGTCCGAGGGGAAACTTTACCTTTTATACATTTTCTCTTTGTATACAATAAGTGCTTAGTGAACTTATTGGATCAGTTTGTTCACATAATATTAAACTCACAGCAAAGTAACAAACCAACTGTATGGTCTTTGTTCGAATCAGAACTCACCTTGTCTGTGCAACACTTTTGCTAGCAACAAAGCCGCCGCAGACAAACGGGCCGGGGAGTAGCCGCAAAGGCCTGTGTTTAGGAGGGAAAGTTCACAGATGAAGCTGTACAGGGAGGCCGTCTTGCTCTCCAGCGATACCACGTTCAGCAGCACTTCCTTATAGTCAACAATCGTAGGAATCTTTTTTTAAAAAAAACAAATATATATATATAAAAAAGGAAAACAGGAAGTCAAACAGCTTCCTAACCTGGACAAGATCTTAAGAAGAACCGTTAGTCTCCAGATGACATGAGTTGTTATATTTATTTTAAATGTTTAAATAGATTTGGTCTTTTGTTTTTTTTAAGACTTCGGGACAGTTTCAGCTTCTTCAATTTCTAAATTGCCCACAGCTGGTGCAATATGTTTTAAAGTCCAAAATGCATGAACACCAGTTTCTGGTTCCCTTCTGGGTTATTAAATTCTCCCAAAGAATTTTTTTCCCCCCCAAGAGGCAACTTGAGACTTTCTTGCTTTTACTTGGAAGACGTCTCATCCCATGAGAAGCGAAACGCCTTCCAAGAGAAACCAACAAGCCCAGTTGTCTCTTGAAAATAAAAGCTTTTTTGAGATAACCATGACCTGGATGACTGAGAATCTCCAGACTCCTGGGTTACTTGGTTTTATAAATTAAACACCTGCAGGCAGGCAGGCAGGCAATGGATAGAAGGAAAGAGATGAATAGAGGAAGGAAGGAAGGAAGGAAGAAAGAAAGGGAGGGAGGGAGGCAGGCCATGGATAGAAAGAAGATGAATAGAGGAATGAAGGAAGGACATAAATAGAAGGAAGATGGATAAAGGGAGGGAGGGAGGACATGGAAAGAAGGAAGGAGATTAATAAAGGAAGGGAGGGAGGGAGGGAGGACATAGAAAGAAATGAGATGAATAGAGGAAGGAAGGGGGGGAGGGAGGACATGGAAAGAAGGAAGATGAATAAAGGGAGGGAGGGAGGACATGGAAAGAAGGAAGGAAATGGAAAGAAGGAAGGACATGAATAGAGGAAGGAAGGACATGGATAGAAGGAAGGAGAGGAAGGAAAGAAGGAAGGAAACATAAGATTTGAATTTTGAATCTGAGCTGAGAAAGTCACAGCAGAATCAAACAGCATGGGGAAAATTCAAAGGAGTGGGATTTCTTCAATATTTTTTTCATGCGGCGATAAAGAGATCACATATGACATTCATGTCCAAAATATCCTCCAAGTACCTCACTTCTTCTAACATTGCTAGGAGGAACGACTGAACAGGTAAGTCCTCAACTTTATAATCACAATGCTTTTATTTATTTTATTTATTTATTTATTTGAATTTATATACCGCCCTTCTCCTGAAGGACTCAGAGCGGTGTACAGCCAGAATAAGAACACACAAATAGAAAATTTAATAACAATTTAAAATATATATTAAACAATATGGCCCGTAACTAATTAAAAACCCATTTTTAAACCTCAAGAGTTAAAAATTAAAAATATTAAAAGTTGAAAAAAATTGGAATTAGGCCAGCCCGGCTTGTTGGAATAAAAGAGTCTTGAGGGCGCGGCGGAAGGTGCATAGGTCCGGGATCCTCCGAATCTCCAGGGGCAATTCGTTCCAGAGGGCAGGTGCCCGCACAGAGAAGAGTCTCCCCCTGGGGGTCGCCAGTCGACATTGCCTGATCGACGGCACCCGGAGGAGACCCTCTTTGTGGGAGCGTACTGGCCGATGGGAGGTTATTGGTAGCAGAAGGCGGTCTTGTAGGTATCCATTTTAAGGCCAAGTCCATCCTCTCCGTACAAGTTTACCTTTATCCTGCCTTCCAGGGCAGAGATGATCTCCCCCATCATCCTCACGAGGTCTTCGTACTTGTACGTGTTGTCTGTTAACCAAACCGCTTCGCGAATCGTCAGAATCTCTTTGCTCACGAAGCTGCAACGCAAGAGCGGTTTGCCTGAAAGGCCAACATCGCGGAAGAAATAGCAGGGGTGGGGGGCCCTTTCCTTACTAACCTGCCCCTTTCCAGAAAGCAGCTAAATCACCAAGGCTTAGTGTGATTTTTTTTTTTTTTTTAAGGGCAGAAGCGGAGAGGAACTAAAACGCATCAAAATCTTAGCAAAGCTAACTTCAAGGCATGTGCTCAAGCAGCATTTGACAGGGCCTGAATTCACAGCAAAATATACCGCAGTTATCTTTCGGATAACTCCTGTCAGCCTCGCAGGCTATTCTCTATTCTATTCTATTCTATTCTATTCTATTCTATTCTATTCTCTATTCTATTCTATTCATTCTTTATTCTATTCTATTCATTCTTTATTCTATTCATTCTCTATTCTATTCTATTCTATTCATTCTCTATTCTATTCTATTCTATTCCTTTTCTTTATTCTATTCTGTTCCTGAGTCCTCATGTTTTCCACTAATGCAGCAAAATGCATAGGCTCTACTGCCATAGTGGTTAGACTCTGTTGCAAACCCCAATAAACAAGAATTGGCAAAACCAGACCAAGCCACCCCCAGCATCCCCAAGAGCTACAGGGCTTACCGGGTGCAAATAACCATGCATGCAATCCCTAAAAGCTGCAGCCGAGCCCGGGGCACAGATCTTAATTTCAAGTACCGATCCACACAGCCAATGGTCATGTGAAGGCAGAGGCTGGAGAAATCTTTCATGGTGGCGACTTCTACCAGCCAATCAACCAAAATGTATCTAAAAGAACAAATAAAATAAAATAATGAAATAAAGCAGTTGGACATTCATGTTCTGTCCCCCTTCCTCACACAGGCAAACGTAATACCAAGCACGCCTGCCAATATTTTATGAGGTAAACAGATTAGAATTCTTGGCAGACCAAGGTTTTGGCAGCAAACTGCCGAATGCCTGTCAAGACTGTTTTCACTCCCATAAAGCAGAAGAGGAATTATCTTCAGTCCGTTCCAGGAGCAACAAATTATCCACGAGACATGAGTTTAGTCAATGTTCAGTCCAAAATATATCCAAGCCGAATTTCAGAGATCACGATGTGACTTTCAGGGTTTAACTTTGTCCGTCACAAAGCCTGAAGAGCAATCCCACCCACTTTTATTCCTGGTGGGGCGTGACTCCATGACTCAGCTCAATCTCTGGCCCTCCCACGCCTCTTCCGTTGCTGCGCATGCTTCTCCCTCCGACGCTGCCTGGGATCAAGCCAGGATTCATCCTCCTCGCTCCCTATCTGTTGTTGTTCCGATATGCTTTCCTTCTGGCATATCCCAGGCTGTTCCTCTTGGCCTTCGGATGGAACCTGAGGCATTGCCAGAGAGGAGGGTCCTGGAGAGGGAGGCCTTGTCAGTTCCTCCCCATCACCTTCTGAGTCCTCTTCCTCTGTTAGGATAGGCTCGGGAGTCGGGGTCACAACAATTCATCTTTGCTGTCGGATGGGAATCCATTATCCCATGGTGCTTCTTTCATCAGTCATTTTTCTTTTTTAAAAAATATTCTTTTAAAGATTTCTTCATACGTAAATAAACAGAATTTTAAAAAATGAAAGAGGGATGACTGAACAAACTAAAATTAACTACTTATCACCTCCTTTTCAATAGATGCTAACAGGGGTCAGCAACCTGTGGCTCTGGAGCCGCATATGGCTCTTTCACCTCTCTGCTGCGGCTCCCTGTCACTCAAAATAGGCGTCACAACCGTCAATGTGACACCCGCCAGCACGCGATTTATTGAGCTTTTCAACCCCCGGTAGGCCAACCATGGATAAATCCAAGAAATGAAAAGTTTCAGAAGAAAACAGAACGTTTAATTCAACTACATATGCTAGTTTTGTGGCCGCTCAAGAAATAGTCAGGCACAGGAAGGGTTTTGTGGCTCCCGGTGTTTTCTTTTCTGTGGGAAACGGCTCCAAATGGCTCTCTGAGTGTTTAAGGTGGCAGACCCCTGTGCTAAGAAATTGATCGCCAGTTGCTAAACAAATGGTTGTAACTGAGGATTACCTATATGGCACCTCGCACATGATTTTTTAAAAAATCTGCACTAACTTTGTGACATAAAACTCTAAATCATTTCCCTAAAAAAAAATAATCACATTTTAGCATATTGAGACTGATACTTATTTTCACCATTTAGCAACGGAGACCATTTCTTGCACGTTTTTAGCACAACGAGTGGCCACGTGGTGTTTTAGGATGCTCAGGAATCCGGTTTCAATCCCAAATAGAAACCCCAAAACCATGTTCAGCCTAATGTTTTTTTTTTTTAAAGACTGGCAGAAACCGGGTGAGGTTCTAAATTTTGTGAGATCTCAACCTTTTAAAACCTACTTTGAGCTCCAGACTGTTTCAGAAGCAACCGGTAACCAAGCAGCAATTAATAAAATGATGTTTTCCTGCCTCCACCCCCAACGAGAGATTAAAATTCCAAGTTAATAAAAAAAAACCCAACAACTTAAGTTTTCTAAAGGGGGTTTGATAAAACCTGCTGGTCCAGCTAATTAAGCTGCCCAGTGTTTTGATCTAGGCTTCCCTAGCAACACGAAACCGAATCCTCGTCCCGATAAACACCTTTTATTTGATTTACAGTGAATTTCCCTCCAGCAAAGTCTTTTCTCTCTCACAGTCTTTCAAGATAGTTCACCAATACCGACCTTTATCAGGCTTGGAGAGTGGACAGGCCAATATCTTTCAGAGGCCACAATACTTGGCAAGGATGTCGGAATGAACTAATTGTCTCCTGCAAACTCCCCTCCCCTTTCACTCCTGTTTTATTCCCTCTGGGAGGGGCCCTTCCTCGTCCACCTGTGGCCTTACTCCCAAGTCGACCCTTGTTCTTTAGCTGTTCCCTTCGTCTGGCAACTCTGCGCATGCGCACACTGGGAACAGGCTCCAGCTGTTCATCTGCCTGACTGATGTCTAATTCCAAAGGCAGCTGATAAATGTCAGACGGCCCTGGCTCCCTCTCTGCCTCAGACGCAGAGCCCTCATCAGAGCCTTCCCCAGACTCCAGGACTGGCCCATGTTCCTCCCCAACCTCCTCACTGTCCGAATCTGCTGCCAGTTTTGCTGGCCACTGGCAGGCCACAAACACCCAGGGTCACTCAATGGATGGCATATAAATTGAATAAATAAATGACAAAAACAGCAGGATGGACGTCTTTACCTCATCGTCTCATTCATGCCCTTCTGGACAGTGAAAATGCTTTGCTTGCTCAGAGGGACGGAGGCCTGGAAAAACTGGGAGATCATCTCGATGGACGTCTTGCTTTCCAATCCCAGTTGATTTCCGTTCCGGCAAGCTTTGGCAAGGGTGATCTGCGCAAGGTAGAAAAGCAACTCGAGGTAAGACAACGGAGCTTCAGCTTGAAGGAAATCAACCCTGAGGGACAGATCCTGAAGCTCAAATACTCTGGCTACCTAATGAGAAGAGAGGACTCCTTGACAAAGACCCTAATGTTGGGAAAGGAGAAGAGGGCGAAAGGAGAAGGAGATGGCAGAGGATGAGATATTTAGATGGTGTCCTTGACACAATGAACGTTGGGCAAACTCTGGGAGACTGTGGGGCCTGCTTTGCTATGGTTCATGCAGTGGTGAAATCCAAATTTTTTTACTACCGGTTCGGGTGGGCGTGGTGTGGCTTGGTGGGTGTGGCAGGGGAAGGATACTGCAAACTCTCCATTCCTTCCCCACTCTTGGGGGAAGGATATTGCAAAATCCCCATTCCCTCCCCACTCTGAGCCCATCCAGAGGTGGTATTTGCCAGTTCTCCGAACTACTCAAAATTTCCACTACCGGTTCCCCAGAACCTGTCAGAACCTGCTGGATTTCACCCCTGCTTGCAACATTAATAAACACAAAAACCAAAACACAGGTTAAAAACAAAAGAGTCAAGAACAAATGAAAACTTCCAACTAAAAATAAAAATTTGTTAAAATGCAGAAGATTAAAAGGTTAACAAGCCACCCTCCATTCCAAGGCTGCGTCACACAGACCCCACCCCCCTTTCTGGTTTCTGGCACACATGTGCGCACGAAGACTAGCTGGTTGGTGGGCATGCCGGACACCGGAAGAGCAGCTGCCCGGCGCATGCAGACGCACTGGGCAGCTGCTCTTTTGGTTTCAGGCGCTCCCACATGCGTGAAGACCAGCTGGCCGGCACGTCGGACCCTGGAAGAGCAACAGCTCGCGTGCCTGGAGAAATGGCTCTGCATGCCACTTCCGGCACGCGTGCCATAGGTTCACCATCACGGGTGTATGAGAATGGCCTTGATAGAAAAGAGCTGCTGCCTAGGGAACAATTCAGAGAAGAGAGGGGGAGCCTCCATGACTTAACGGTCAGAGAAAGAAGCTTAAGAAGCACCCATTCGAATGGATCAGGCTGTTAAAAGTGACGGTGGGAGATTGGTACCTTCAGACATGCAAGATTGATATCAGCTTGTTGTGGTCCGCCAGCAGCCTGTGGAGCTGGCAGCAGAGTCGGACAGTGAGGAGGCTGGGGAGGAACATGGGCCAGTCCTGGAGTCTGGGGCAGGCTCTGATGAGGGCTCTGCATTGGAGGCAGCGAAAGGGCCATCTGGGAGGTACATGCTGCCTCCGGAGCCTCCAGAGTAGGATCTTAGCGAGGCAGAGGGGGAGCATGTTCCCAGTGCGCGCATGCGCAGAGCTGCCAGAAGGTAAGAACACTTAAAACAAAAGGGACGAATCAGGAGTAGAGCTTGGAGATGATTGGCCCCTCCCATAAGACTTAGAGGAGCAAAGGTAAATGGGCCTTTGCAGGAAGCAACGTTGTTAATTCTGTGCAGTTTAAAGTCTGAAGCTCTGTTTGATTCTGGACTCCGTATGGCTTTGCCAATGAGGTCTTTAGCAGCGTGTCAAGGAAGATAAAGGTGGGTGATTATCAGCCTTATCCCGAAGGACTCTTTACAACTATGTGGGACTCATCTGTGAATGAACAGAATTCACAGCTGTTAAAAATAAAACAGGTTTTTGGGACTACTCATGTGTTTTACTGACTCAGGAAGGCTAGGTCAGAACAGAGCCTTGCCGGCTAAACCAGACAGGAAAAACAACCAAATGAGCTAATTCTACTTAACTGTAAAGCTGCATTAACAGAATCTTGCAAGTGTGAAAGTACAAAATTCCGCCGTCACTTTTAACGGCTTGATCCATTTAGACGGCTCCCTCCCTCCATTAGCTGACTGAAGGCTCCTCTGTTATCTGATTGTTCCCTTAGGCCCATGATGGCGAACCTATGGCACGCGTGCCCAAAGTGGCACACACAAAGCCATGTCGCCCAGCACGCGTGGCCTTGCCTGTTTGTCTTCTGGGTTTCTGGCGTGCATGCACGCGTGACAATCAGCTGTCCTTCGTGCGTGCGGCAGTGCTGAAAACCGGGGTGCACATGCGTGCCAGCCAGCTGATTTGTCGGACGCACATGCGTGCTACAACACAGAAGCTTGGCTTTTCCAACGCAGTCCCGACAAGCACATGCATGCGACGTTTCCGCGTGACGGTGCCAAAAAGGTTCACCATCACTGCCTTGGACAACATCTCTTTCCCTCAGCCCTCAAAACCACCAATTTTAGGGACTTCTGGTTGGCACCGCAGGCTTCGTGGACGGTCTCCTTAGACCGTCAGCCCTGTGTCTTCATAAAAGCTGCTTTGACAGCGCAAATCAGCTGTCTGGCGGCTGAAAAACCTCTCCTTCGGGAAAAGAAGGAGAGGAGAGCCGGTGGGTGAGAGTAGAGCTCCCCGAAGTCCTCTGGAATAATTCCAGAGGCTTGGAGGGTGAGAGCTCCCCAGTCAGCCCGCCAAGAAGCTCCGAAGCCAGGACGACTCTGTAAAGCAGAGCTAGAAGCCGCGATCTCTTCTCTTCATCCATTGAAGTCACAGGTCACATCTCTTTACAAAGTGAAAATAACTTTGTCCCTGGAACCAGTGGGCCGTACCTGAGCTTCCCAAGAACCTTTGGCTGCGTAGTCCCTCAGTTGTCTGAGGCTCTGGAGGTATCGGCCAGGATCTGACATCTGTAAGAAAGGAAGTCGTCACACCTTCTCCCTTATCCTCACAGGCGTTCACAGGTGAACTCCTCCCGGAAGCCCCTTCGCGTTGCAGTCTCTTACACCAAACGTTTTGAACTCACCGCAGCTCTTTGGTTATTTTGCCACAAGAGGTAAGAGCTGTGCAAGCAGCCATGTTTTGAGGAGTCTTCAAACATCTCCAGGGCTTCCTTCCTCTTCCCTTCATCCTAATAAAAGGAAGGGGGAATATGGCTTTGTTCTGGGAATCACATCACTTTTAACAGTTCTGGATGCAAGACTGGATTTTATTTTGTTTTAAATTTCAAGGTATCGTATTTTTCAGAGTATAAGCTGCACTTTTTCTCTCCCCCCACCCCAAAAGCAGGTGAAAATTTTGGTGGGTCTTATACAGTTTTTGGGCTCCCAAACCCTCTGGGCATTGTATTTTTGCACTCCCCGGCCCCCAGAAGCTTTCTGAAGGCCAAAAAATGGACGCATTTTTTGCGAAAATTGGACGAGCGGAGGGTTCAGGAGCAGAGGTGGGTTTCAGCAGGTTCTGAGCAGTTCTGGAGAACCGGTAGCGGAAATTTTGAGTAGTTCAGAGAACCGGTAAATACCACCTCTGACTGGCCCCGCCCCCATCTATTCTCTGCCTCCCGAGTCCCAGCAGATCGGGAGGAAATGGGGATTTTGCAGTATCCTTCCCCTGGAGTGGGGAGGGAATGGGGATTTTACAGTATCCTTCCCCTGGAGAGGGAAGGGAATGGAGATTTTGCAGTAACCTTCCCCTGGATTGGGGAGGGAATGGAGATTTTACAGTATCCTTCTCCTGCCACACCCACCAAACAATGCCACGCCCACAGAACCGGTAGTAAAAAAATTTGAATCCCACCACTGTTCGGGAGGCCAAAAATGGGACTGTTTTTGGCCTGCAAAGTGCTTCTGGGAACCGGGGAGAACGGAAACGGGACGCACGGATGCAAAAAAAAAATTTTTTTTTCATGTTTTCTTCCTCTAAATCTAGGTGCGTCTTATAGTCCGAAAAATACGGTGCACATAGCTGCCAAGTTCACATATGTGACCATTAAACACAAAAAAATTAAAAACACACAACAGCTCAGCATCATGAAACAGCCGTAATCTGCCTGGTTGATCTGATCCTTTCTTGGTTGACACACTCTGGGCCCCTTTGATTCAACAATGTCATTTATAGGAATTTTGGGAACAGGAATATGGGATAGGATGGAGCTGAAAAAGATAACCTCCTGAGTTATGGTGAACTCCCTCACCATGAGTTCACCATTACAGTCAATATGTATTGTCCCTGTGTCTGAACTATTGTCTTTCTCACCCAGCCCACCCAGCAGAGTATAGAGTTTGGAGAGGGAGGGATTGCAAGAGAGTAAGCAGCCACACAAAGGGAAATACACTGAGATGTTTTGCACAGCGTGTTCGCAGCTGCTGGTGCCAGCACATTCCTTTGGATGTGTCTTCCTCGGTAAATGCCTACTTACTTTCTTGTAATCCCTTCCTCTCCAATAAATGTAAATACAGAGATTAACTCTCTTGTTAATTATCCCCGGTGCTGGAGTAAGCATTTGAAAGGTCAGGGGAGTAAGAAAAACGAAAGCTGTCACATTCACGCGATTTTCCACTTAGCGACTGCTTCACACAACGACCAAGTCGCAGTTCAATTATGGTTGCTTTCAAAGAGGCAACCTGTTTTGTTAGTGTCATTCAGAACATCAAAACTCAAAAGATACTTCCAACACCTGATCGCAGAGTGGACAATGAAATGGTCCTTACCTCAAAGAGACTCAAAACTTTTGCCAAACAGTAGAGAATCGATCCTCGTTGAGTCTACAGAAAGATCAAAGTGGGATGGATAGATGAAGGACACATTTAATATAAAGAGAAACTAGTAATCAACATTTTCAGAACTGTTTTATGATTTTTTTTTTCTTCTGAGCTTGCTAAGATAGGTTCTTTTTCATTACTACTGCAAATTAATCTGAGAACAGTCACGTAAATGAACCAGGTCATTATAATTTTAAAATAATGTTGCCACTGTTCAGGGGCCTGAAAAATTTAAAAACCCTGATTGTTGCAGAGAGATTGGTTGAGTCAAGGGCAAGAGTCAAATGGGGACTTAGTCTGGAATCCCTATGTGGGCACAAAAGTGTGAAATCTGACTCCTCTTGAATGCTGCAGAACCGTATCTAGTCTTAAAGGTAAAGATTCCCCTCGCACATATGTGCTAGTTGTTCCCGACTCTAGGGGGCGGTGCTCACTCCGTTTCAAAGTAGAAGAGTCAGCGCTGTCTGATGACGTCTCCGTGGTCATGTGGCCGGCATGACTAAACACCAAAGGCGCACGGAACGCTGTTACCTTCCCACCAAAGGTGGTCCCTAGTTTTCTACTTGCATTTTTTATGTGTTTTCGAACTGCTAGGTTGGCAGAATCTGGGACAAGTAACGGGAGCTCACCCCGTTACGCGGCACTAAGGATTCAAACCGCTGAACTGCCGACTTTTCGATCGACAAGCTCAGTGTCTTAGCCACTGAGCCACCACATCCCTATCTAGTCTTACTTAGGTGCAAACTGTCAGTCAGAAGATTCTTGTTTATAGACTTGAGCAATAAAACAGCTAATTGAACTCTTCATGGTTGTTTGCGCCAACAGCGGTTTAGATTATTTATTTATTTATTTAATTTGTATACAGCCCTTCTCCAACAGGACTCAGGGCGGTGAAGAGCCATAGTAAAACATAACATATAAAATTTAAAAGCAGTTTAAAAAACATTAAATAATTTTGGCTATCCATTTAAAACAACCCAAATTATGGTTTTATCAGTTTTAGGATATAGACTCGTAGCTCCTTCGGCATAGCAAAAACCTATCAATCTATGGTCTGAAATAAACAAGGACTAGAAATTTAAAACACGTCAAAGATATTTCAGAATTTGCACTGTGTAGCTGGAACATTCATACAGATGTTAACTTCCCTGAATGCAAATTACTGCGCCCATTCTGGGCAACCCTAATGAGTGGTGTGGTAGCCTAGAGGTGGAGCTCTCGCCTCACAACCAGGAGACTGTGAGTTCAATCCTAGGTAGAGGCACATATTTCTCTCTCCGGACACATTGAGAATATATCTGCTGAACAAAACTCTGCACTGGCGACAGGAAGGGCATCCGGCCAGTAAACGCTCAGCTCCATTCAGTTGCCCAGACTCCGCCCCGCAAGGGATTATGGGGTTATTAAAAGACGATGACTCTGGGCAACCATAAGTTCTGCAAATCAAAGACTGAGAGACACGGTAAAAAGCCGGCTTACTTTTCGCTGCTGACACTCTCTTCGGAGGCTCTCGTAGACCACAGCTTTGCAACAGCTCCCGCCCAGTGACCAGGGGGGGCGTATGAACAGCCAGACAAAAGGCACTGCGGAGACGTTCAAGCACTCGGCCAGGCTGAAAAAATGGGAGGCCTTGAGCCCGTTCACTTCTGCACGGCCTTCATCGGAAACCGATGCTAAAAACAACAACAACAACAAAAGAGAGGGGAAATGATGAATCTGGATGCAGGATGAAATTTCAACTACCAGCTTGAGGAGGAGGAGGGCTAAGTTCCATAATCGTGGCTCTGGTGCAGCGTAAGGCGCTAGAGATCCCTGAAGCGGGGCCCATCTGTTCCCGTTGTTTTCTGCCCACCCCAGTAAGTCTGGCAAGACGGGCTTTCTCCAGGTTTCCTTGGCAAAACAGCTGGTGGGGGCTTGGAAGTATGCCTTCTGCCAGAAATTTGGATGGCCCTGACTTTGTTGGCCTTCAGGAAAGTGGGAAGGAAAGAGAAAGAAAGAAAGAAAGAAAGAAAGAAAGAAAGAAAGAAAGAAAGAAAGAAAGAAAGAAAGAAAGAAAGAAAGAAAGAAAGAAAGGAAGGAAGGAAGAAAGAGAGAGAGAGATTTGGTGAGAACCAGGAAGGAAGGAAGGAAAGAATGAATGAAAGAGAAAGAAAGAAAGAAAGAAAGAAAGAGAGAGAGAGAGAGAGAGAGAGAGAGAGGGAGAGAGAGAGAGAGAGAAAAGCAAGATAGATAGATTTAGTGAGAATTAGGAAGGGAAGGGAAGGGAAGGAAGGAAAAAAGAAAGATTTGGTGAGAACCAGGAAGGAAGTAAAGAAAAAGAAAGAAAAAGAGAGGAAGCAAAAGGAAAGGAGGGAAGAAGGAGGGAAGAGGAAGGAAAGGAGAAAAGGGAGGACAGGAAGGAGAAAGAAGCAGAAAGGAGGGAAAGCAAGGAAGAGGAAGGAAAGGAGAGGGAGGGAAGGACGGTGATTTAACAGAGGGCTTCTCTTTCAGACGTGTACATCAGACTCAGCCACATGTCAACTTATTTGTCACAACCCAAGGCCCCTTTGGTGCCAAAGAAAGTTGGGCCCAGATCAACCTGGCAGTCTAGAACAACTGTCTCCAAAGTGGGGTGCAGACACTTACGGCCTTCATTGTAGAGGTAGGCGATTCCAAGTTTAACAGCAGCTTCAAAGTTACCCTTTTCTGCAGCCCTGAATGAATACAGAGGGGAAACAAAAGCAGACTCATTATTTGGAGGAATTCAGAGCTCAGCAGAATGCAGGAAAGCCTTAGAAAGAAATCTATAAACAAATCCTTCTCCCTTTAACTATATTTTAACAAACGCATTTGGTAGGTCAGCCAACATCCCCTCTCGAAGAGACCATCGTTACCCCGAGAGATGGTGAAAATCGGAAAGAGCGAAGACTTTTTGCACTAAAACTCATCGTTCTGCCCACTGTGATAGCATCTAGGTATAAATTACAAATTTCCTGACAGAACAATTAACCAGTGGAACAAGTTGCCTCCAGAAGTTGTGAATTCTCCAACACTTTAAGTTTTTAAGAAGAGGTTGGATAACCATTTGTCTGAAATGCTATAGGGTTTCCTGCCTAAGCAGGGGGTTGGACTAGAAGACCTCCAAGGTCCCTTCCAACTATTCTATTCTATTCCATATTCATATTCTATTTCTTTTCTATCCATTCCTTATATCCAAATTTTTTTACTACTGGTTCTGTGGGCGTGGCTTGGTGGGTGTGGCAGGGGAAGGATACTGCAAAATCCCCATTCCCTCCCCACTCCTGGGGGAAGGATATTGCAAAATCTCCCATTCCCTCCCCACTCTGGGGCCAGCCAGAGTTGATATTTGCCAGTTCTCCGAACTACTCAAAATTTCCACTATCGGTTCTCCAGAACCAGCTGGATTTCACCCCTGATTCTATTCCTAATTCATATTCATATTCATATTCATATTCTATTTCTATTCTATTCCATTCCATATTCATATTCATATTCATATTCATATTCTATTTCTATCCTATCCTATCCTATCCTATCCTATCCTATTCTATTACACAGGTAATCTTCGCTTAACAATCCGTCACTTAGGACCTCTTCTTGCGTAGTGCAAGATAGCTGATGATTTCCCAAGTCCTAAAAAGTTACCTTTCAAAGATTTGCAAGTTTCTCGGGGAAGGCCACTCTTCTTGAAAGCTTGCACAGGCCCAAATGCAGGTGTGGTTATCTATAAGATACTTAAGATGAGAATGCACCTGGAAGAGAGCGAAGCAGACGGTAATAGCCAAGGAATCCTCAAATGAGGGCAATTAAAACGTTCAGCTAGGTGGAATACCCTGGAAAGCAATTGTGGAATACTGGAAGGGCAGGTTATATTCTGTTTGCATCACGGATTGTTTTTTTTAAAAAAATGTTTTATTTGTTTTATTTATATAACATTCAATTTTCAGCAAACAGTATGTATTCTGGGTATAATTATGTTTAGATAGTCATATTTATAGTCATCTTCACTATATTTAGTCATCACCATCATATTAATAATATAACATAATAAACTTAATATTTAACATCATCTTCTTTAATGACTCTCCTCTATACCATTTCCTCCCTTTATATCTTTTCTATATTCTATTCTATATTCTATCTATATTCCTCCTTTCTAACTTGTTTCTGTTATCTAACCATTGATAAAATCAAATGTCCCTTATCAAAAAACATTCAGTTTCTTCTTTACCCTTAACAGCAAGTGTTAATCTATCCATTTCTGCACAATCTAATATTTTATAAATTACATTCTCCTCAGACGGGATCTCATCACTTTTCCGTTGTTGTGCAAATACAATTCTAGTTGCCGTTAATCTATGCAGGATTGAATATGCAGTCTTTTCATCGTATTTTTCTGGTAGAATGCCCAAGAAAAACATCTCTGGTTTCAGATCTATATGTAGTTTTATCATCTTTTTCCAGCCATGTGTCTCTTTTTGTCCAACAATCACGGATTGGCGCAGGCAACAGTTTTGGCCTCGGTTGTGGGTCCTAATGTAGGACTACCCTGTTTCCCTGAAAATAAGCCCTATCCTGAAAATAAGCCCTAGCATGGTTTTTATGTATGTGCCTAATATAAGTCCTACCCCCCCCAAATAAGCCCTACTTAAGAGCCTGCACAGCCAGCCTCCTGCCCTACCGTGAGCAAGCAGAAGAACTGGGCCTCCTGTACATAGGGGGAGGGGGGGAGAAAATAAGATACCCCCTGAAAATAAACCCTAGTGCCATGATGGTGAACCTATGGCATGCATGCTAGACGTGGCATGCAGAGCCCTCTCTGTGGGGAAGTGTGTCGCTGCCAGCTGCTCTTCTGGTTTCTGGAAAACAGCTGAAAAACAGCCCGGAAAACGGCCTAAAAAAACAGCCTGAAAAAGGCCCCCAAAATCGCCTGAAAACAGCCTGAAAACGGTCCAAAAAACAGCCCAAAAAACGGCCTGAAAACAGCCTGAAAAAGGCCTGAAAAATGGCTGAAAATGGTCCAAAAAACAGCCCGAAAAACAGCCTGAAAAAGGCCCCCAAAACCACCTGAAAACAGCCTGAAAAATGGCTGAAAATGGTCCAAAAAACAGCCTGAAAAACGGCCTGAAAACAGCCTGAAAAACCGCTGAAAACGGTCCAAAAAACAGCCCGAAAAACCGCCTGAAAAAGGCCCCCAAAACCACCTGAAAACCGCCTGAAAAATGGCTGAAAACGGTCCAAAAAACAGCCCAAAAAACAGCCTGAAAACAGCCCGAAAAATGGCCAAAAATGGATCGAAAAACGGCCTGAAAACAGGCATGCATGCGCCAGCCAACTGGTCTTCAGGTTTCCAGTTCTCCGGCGCGCACACATGTTCCAGTTTGGGCACTCAGTGCCAAAAAGGTCCGCCATCCCTGCCCTACTGCCTATTTTGGGACCCAAAAGAAAATAAGACCCAGTCTTATTTTCGGGGGAACATGGTACCTAATACAGCAAGAACACCGTCCTATGTGGAAAGTGCAAAATAAAAATAAAAAGTTTTGGACTTACAGCTCGGAGAGAAAGGATGTCTTTTATAGGAAGACCTTTGAGAACATGGAAAAGGATATCTTCTGGGAGGGACAGCAGGGTCAGGACACGAGGCCTCTTCTTCAGCCTCCTCTTGGAAGGGACCGAGAAGCACCGGGAACATCGGCAGTGGGTGACTGCAACGAAACCAGTGCCAGAAAATAAGAGGAACGATTAGGCGCAAAGAATCAGGGCCATCTACTAAGGTGCACTTCAGAAGATTTATTGCTCAAGGCCAAAAGCAAGAATCTAATGAACTGATGTTTAATATTAAATTGGCGGAATTCAAATTTTTTTACTACCGGTTCTGTGGGCGTGGCGGGGAAGGATACTGCAAAATCCCCATTCCCACCCCACTCCTGGGGGAAGGATACTGCAAAATCCCCATTCCCTCCCCACTCTGGGGCCAGCCAGAGGTGGTATTTGCCGGTTCTCCGAACTACTCAAAATTTCCACTACCGGTTCTCCAGAACCTGTCAGAACCTGCTGAATAGCACCCCTGAATTGGTGCCCAGATGAGAGTCAATAGAATTCAGGAGTTGGAGTTGGAATGTTTGTGGCTACGTAACAGGGTGGATTTGATTTAAATCAACTCGACTTAAATCATAATTTTGAAAGAGCAAATGTCATCTCTATCCCGCAGCGGCTCCTCCTCTGACCCGCTATTGACTCACCGACGGTCCCATTCACTTTAATGGGACGGCTGGTGATGCGGCAGTGACATAACAAGGTGAGGGACGTGACGGACAGCAGGTGAGTGGCTGCCCGCTAACAGGCGCTGCCTCAATGGATCTGAAACGGCAGATCCATCGTGGTGCTCTTTAAATGTAAGGACTCATCCTTGGTTGGTAGTTAGAATCTTTAATATTGTTATTTGCAAACAAAATGACGGTTTCCTATTTTAGCTTGCGGAGCTTGGATTCATTAAATGAATTTAGCAAAAATGTAAATACTGCAGAATAAACAGCCTCGTGCTACCTAACTAAGCTCCATTTCATGCTGAATAAACTAAATTATTAATGTATCTTAAATAGAAAACGATCTTTAGATAGACTTTTACTCCAAAAGCATTTTACTAAAATAAATTTGATTTTAAAAAATTCGATTTAAATTTTTTTAAAAATCTGATTTTTAAATTTTTTTATAAATCATTGATTTTTATCCACCCTGCTACGTAATGACTCTTGGCTAATGACTTGCTTAACTCCGCCCGCAGCGCCTGCTCTTCTCCAATAGGAACCGATGTGGAAACACTAGAATTCCCAAGCCAGATGACATCGCCAGGTCCTGAGTTTCTTCTAGAAACTATGTCAATCCCCACAATGGACCTACTATCATAGAAACCCCGTGCCTGTTTATTTCGGAGAAAGCTCTACAAAATTCAGTGTGACTTTTCTTTTGAGTGAAGGTGCCGAAGGTGCCCATTTCTTTGATCGACAGAAACAAAGCAGGAACAGATGTCAGGATTTATAAACAAGGAATCCACTCTATCCTTTTGGATTCTTTACCTGCCCGTGTCGGTAATCAGACTGTTCAACTGGATCTCTTATGCTAGAAGTTATCCAGCACCACCTGACCCACCCTTTGTAAAATTATGTGTCTTGGAATTTTAGCAAGACTCCAGGAAAACTTTAAAACCCAAAACTTTAACCTTAGACCGTCTACTCCATTCCTAAGAGGTCTGTAAGGGGCGTGCATAAGAGCATCAGCGTGCCTTCCATCCCTGTCCTAATGTTCCCTTTAATTGTATTCATTTTATGTATTCAATTCATGCTTATACTTATATATATTATCTAACATGTACTCGACAAATGAATAAATAGAAGTTGCAGGAGACATGATGATTTCACAAGACTCCTTAAACCACGGTTGAAAAGTTCTTTTTTTTGCTAATTATGGGATTGCCCCAGATTGTGCAATAGCAAACCAATGCTAAAGAAGATTGCCAAATTTCAGCACATTTTAAAATGGGTAAAAAATGACACTTTTATTCATTTGTATTCCAGCCTTTGCTATTTGTTTTTTTTTTAACAAATAACTCAAGTCAGCAAACATACATAAACATCCCTTCCTCTTCTTATTTTCCCCAGAACAACACTGTAATGTCAGTTGGGCTGAGAGAGACTGACTGGCCTACAGTCAGCCGGCCAGTTTTCATGCTTAAAGCAGGACTTGAACTCATGATCTCCTGCTTTCCAGCCTGGTGTCTTTTGGATGCATTTTTAATAAGAATTACAAAAAAGGTAGTCCTTGACTTAGAATAGCAATAGCACTTAGACTTATATACTGCTTTACAGTGCTTAATATCCCTCTCCAAGCAATTTACAGAGTCAGCCTATTTCCCCCAACAATTTGGGTCCTCGTTTTACCGACCTTGGAAGGAAAGCTGAGTCAACCTTGAACCTGTTGAGATTCGAACTGCTGACACTCGGCAGAATTAGCCTGCAATAGTACATTCTAACTACTGCGCCACCATGGCTCAATCATTCATTTAGTGACTCATTTCACTGTCTCACTTACCCAGCAGAAATTTTGGGCTCAGTTGTGGTCATAAGTCAAGGACTACCTATATTTAGTAAATGGCATTAACTAAATTAATATTTTAAGGCAGAAAAGGATTTTTAATTAAGGCCTGTGCATTGTTTTTTTTTTTCCCACATGCCATTTCACACTATAATAAACTATACTGTGAACATAATTTTTATATGCACAGGGAAACAAAAAAGCTCACGTGATACTATTGAGATATTCCTATTTCGGCAAGCCGGGCTGGCTTAAAATTTTTTATTGGTGAATTTTATGGGTAAGGAGTTTTAAATTGGGGATAGCCATTATAGATTTAATTTTGTTTTAAATGTATTTTAATGTTTATATTGTATGTTTTTTAATCTTGGCTGTTCACCGCCCCGAGTCCTTCGGGAGAGAGAGCGGTATAAAAATTTTAAAAATAAATAAATAAAATAAAATAAATAAATAAATAAATATTCTCTTTATTAGGGTAGTCTGGAATTGAACCCACAATATCTCTGAGGTGTGCCTCTATCTATTCAGATAGCATTAGAGTAACTTGTCTTGAGGGAAAAAAAACAAGAAAACTTTAATTTATTCTTTCTTCCAGAAATCAATTTCTCTTGACAAAAGAGAGGAAAAACAGCAAAATTCGGTCGAGCGAAGCCTCATGGCACAGCTTTGAAGCCGGCAGTTTAAACTCTTATAAAAGCTGGAAGCTGCTTTAAAATATACACAATTATATTTCTTTCTTTTGAAGCCTCTAATCAAAGCGAGTTCTGGTTTTTACCATGCATGTAAAAAAAAACCCTTTAAGTCTGCTTAAAAAGCAGATTTCTTCCTTTCAAAGACTTTGAATCTTTTTTCCCCCATGCCAAACTTTTCAAAGACTTTGAATCTTTTTTTTTGCCCCATGCCAAACTTTTGCTCTAAATCCATGAAAAATCTGGATTTATGAGCTACCTGTCCTTTTGGTGCAGGATGGGGGGGGGGGGGGAAAAAAAAAAAACCCCAAAAGGAAATTCCCTTTGAAAAAAAAAAGGAGAAAATTTGTATAATATGGTTTTATGGAGCCCATGGAGAGAAGTCTTAAGCCAATCCCCTCCGCAGACAAGCCCGCTCTGATCTTCTAATAGGCTCGGCTCACTTTTTAAATCGACCCGCCCAAAAACTAGGGACGTCCTCTCCCCGTTGAGGTTTTTAAAAAATTAGAATTTTTTTTTTTGGTAAAAAAAATAAATTAAAAAAATAGGAATCAATAAACCACTTCGACTCCAGCAAGGATTCCCCCCAAAAAGAAAAAGAAAAAAAAGTGGATTTCAAAAACAAACTAGCCAAACTTGGAAAAGTTTCCTTTACACGAGCAAGGAAACTTTAAGGAAACTTTCCTTGAAGTTTCCTTTAAGCCACGAGCAACTCAACTTTAAAACCAAGTTTTTGCAAAGACATCCGGCGGTGCTTTGGGGTCTGCATCGAAATCGGGAAAAGGGGGGAAGCCCTTTCCTAGCAGACTCCATTTCTCCCAGCCTTGCGATCTAAACTTTGGGCTCCGTTCACACGTTACCTTCCCCTCGCCCGGATGAGGCTTTCCGACGATTGCACGGAGAGGAAAGAAAGAAAGAAAGAAAGACAAAGAGAGAGAAAAGACCGGTGCACCCATTTGGGGAAGGGTATATAAATGATGGATTAACAGATGAGTGGGAAGGGATATTAGAGGTCATCTAGTCCAACCCCCCCTTGCCTTTGCATCCTGCGCACCCAGGCGCACCTTTGCACTTATAATAGCAACACTAACAAGAGTTGGAAGGGACCTTGGAGGTCATCTAGTCCAACCCCCTTGCCTTCCTGCCCACCCAGGCGGGGCTTTGCACTTCTAATAACAACAACAGTAACAGAGTTGGAAGGGACCTCCGAGGTCATCTAGCCCAACCCCCTGCTCACGCAGGAGACCTGTACTAGGGATTCGAACCCACTCCCCCGACTTTTCTGATCGACAAGCTCAGAGTCTTAGCCACCTAGTCAGGCTAAACTCGTGTCCAGCCAGCCTCCTTTCGGACGTGGGAGTTCCAGCACCCCGGGTTGCAAGCATCGCTTTAAGCTGCAAAGGCAATTCCCTTGCGGGAACCCCCCCCCCAAAAAAGGGTGGAAAGGGGCTAAACCACCTATCCCCGGGGATGAACGGTCGTGGGGATGAGTCACTCCCGTGTAGGACATTCCCAGCAAAGTTTGAAACACCCCTCCCCTCTCCGGCCCCGCCCTCTACTGAAGACCCCCCCCCAATAGAGGTTTAACATGGGGTACATCCCCCTTCCCAAGTCCTAAAAGCAACTCCCAGGTTTTGCAAACAGGGACCCGCGGAGACCACTCACCGCCCGCTTTCATCCTGCAGCGCTCGCAGAACGGCCGCCGCGGCGCCAAGCAGCTAGTTCGTAGTGAGCGCCCAGCCTGCCGGGTGGGCGGAGCCCGGAGAAGGCTCCTCCCCTTTTACTCCGGCTGCCTACCGCTCTAAAAAAAACCCTTAGCCCCGCCCTTTGGAGGAGAGCGAACGAATAGCCAATCGCCTGGTCCGAGTTAGAGCCACGCCTCTTTCCTTTCCTTTTTTTTTTTTTTTACAGCCGGAGACCTCGCGCTCTCTCTTTTTTAAACCTAGCAAGAGCCGGGGATTGGACGGAGGGCGGGGCGAGGGGCGGGGCGAGCGGGAAAAGAGGAGGGAGGGGGGGAAAAGCCGTCAAAGCCGCGGGGAAAGGATTCGAATCCCGCGCGCGCGCGAGCGCGCGGCGTTGGGGCGCAGGCGCAGAAGCCGCCCGGCCAGTGAGTGATGGTTCATGATGGGTCCCATTTAAGGAAACGGAGGATGGGTTTCCCGATCCCGTGCAATGCCCCTAAAATAGAGGAAAGGAGGATAGTACCAGTTTGGATTCGCACCAGGTACTTTAGCACCAGGTACTTTAACCAGGTTTCTGGGCAGCATGTAAATTTAAAATAAAATTAAAATAAAATAAAATAAAATAAAATAATAAAGAAAATACAAAATAAAATAAAGAAAAAAATAAAAAAAAATAAAAATTAAGTATAAAGTACAAAGTATAAAATATAAAGATAAAATAAAATAAAATATAAAACATAAAAAAAGAAAATAATAAAGAAAATACAAAATAAAATAAAGAAAAAAATAAAAAATAAAAATAAAAATTAAGTATAAAGTACAAAGTATAAAATATAAAATATAAAGATAAAATAAAATAAAATAAAATATAAAAAAAGAAAATAATAAAGAAAATATAAAAGAAAATAAAGAAAATAATAAAATATAAAAGAAAATAAAGAAAATAAAAATAAAAAATAAAATTGGATGTTTTGCAATCTTTCGCCACTTTAGGATGTCTGTATTTCAAATTCCCAGAATTCTCTAGCCTAGCTGGAAAGGGGTGGAGGGAATTCCCCTTCTGGCTGGGGGGAATTCTGGGAGTTGAAGTTCATTCATCCGAAAGCTGCCAGGGTTGAGAAACAAATTATGTAAATAAATTATGTAAATTTATTATGTAAATATATTGTATACTGTATATTGAAGGTGGCGACCCTTTGAAACCTGTATGCAACGAAATTTCACTTTGATGTATGCTGATTAGTGTACATTCAAAATAACAATAAAGTTATTCTGTTCTATTCTAAATTGCTTTATGTAATTTCTACAGCTGCAAATCACCAAACCCTTCACTGTCGTCAGGTGTCCACCAGGGAGCGTCCCATCCAAACTGTCTTGTATACCTTTTTCCCTTCTTCCATAGTCTTAATGCAAACCAGCTAAAAGACTGAACTGTTTTAGTCTCTTGACTTACGTTGCAGAAACCTCCCAAGAAGTAAAGGAAGCTTTCTGGAGTAAACATACCACGTAAGTAAGCCTGATGACACCAAGAGGACCATCAAGTTACGACCGTTTGAGCAGGATGGTGTAAGGTCTCTTGCCTTGAGCAGGGGGTTGGACTAGATGACCTTTGAGGTCCCCATCCAGCCCTATGATTCTATGTCCTACATTGCTAAGTGGTGCACAAAATGTACACGATGCCCCATGATGGTACTGACTTATCAACTGCAGTGATTCACTTAACAAATGCGGTCGTAAAATGGGGGAAAACTCACTTAACAAATGTCTCACTTAACAACAGAAATTCTGGGCTCAATTGCCGTCTTTAGTTCAAGACTGCCTGTGCTTCAATTGTTCACATGCTAAAATATAAAATAATGCTAAAATACGATCCAAACATAATGTAGGAAGTTAGCACCCACTCCTCTCCTAGAAGGGTGAAACATTTTAGAGGAAATATTTTATCCTGCCTCTTTTTAATATTTCCTAAAATATTTCATTCTTCTAGGAGAGGAGTGGGTGCTAACTTCCTACAATAATAATTCGTTCCTTGGTTTTCCTCCTTTTGAGAGAAATAACTTGCAAACACGCAAACACACACACTTTCAATGCATTCCCAGCTCTGAAATGGAAAATATACTCCCTGCAAGGAACAGAGTGAAATGGGGGGAAAAAATATAACACAGTATATGAATCTTCCTCTGCAAGAATCATTTCTGTACTCATAAATTGACTTCAGGCAACCCACCAAGCCCTTGTTTGCTTCTCTCTGGTTAATTGCCTAAAATCCCAGGTTTACGGCTAAACCCGCTTGTGAGAATCCACCCCGTTGGGGTGTGCACTCAAGCGTTGCATAAGCAAGCGATAACTTATCGCAGTGTGGGTGAATCATGGGGATGAGGTATAGAACTTCCCTGGACACCAGTTGATTGCTAGCGAAAGATCGTTCAGTGCTGTAAGATTCTGTCTGATTTCCCTGGGCGTAATAAACCATTGATTTAAAAACACACGCACTCTTTGATAATTTGGCAGAGCTTGTTTCTTTTCTAGAGTAATTTAGGAATTCAACGCTGGAAGGAAAACGCCATTTGAGTGACAAGGATGGGTAAACATTTCAATGTGCTTTCTTGCTGTGAGGTTTAATTTGAATGCCTGCTTTTAATAAGCCCAGAATAAGATGATTTGAAAACGGCTTACGAATGGCTAGGTAGCCCTCGGCGTACGACCGTTCGGGAGGCCAGAATTTTTATCCTAAGGCACAACAGTTGTAAGTCAAAAATCAATTTTACAACCTTCTTTTTTTTTTTTTTTTGCAACAGTCGATTAAGCAAACGCAATAGTGGTAAAGCAAATGCTGCAGTTTTAAGTGCAGTTCTGTATTTTTGCTAGGAACCTGCAAAGGAAAAAAACGTTGTAAATTGCGAGTCGATTGCCAAACGCCCAAAATGCAGTCATATGACTGCAGTGTGTGTGGGCAGTTCTGTGTTTGTCAACAAATGTTTCACCTTTTTCTCAACCCTAATGTTGTGGCCCGCCAACAGCCAGCGGAGCCGGCAGCAGAGTTGGACAGTGAGGAGGTTGGGGAGGAACTTGGGCCAGTCCTGGCGGCCGGGGAAAGCTCAGACGAGGGCTCTGTGTCGGAGGCAGAGCGGGAGATAGACAGCAGCGAGGCAGAGGAACAGCTGGAGCCCGTTCCCAGTGTGTGCATACGCAGAGCTGCCAGGAGACAAGAACAATTAAGAAAGCAGGGTCGACTCGGGAGTAAGGCCACACCTTGGAGATGATTGGCCCCTCCCATAGGACATAAAAGAGGGGTGAACGGGACGTGGGCTTTTGCAGGAAGCAATTAGTTCATTTGATCGATTCAAGATTGGAAAGTTCTGTTCGTGACTCTAATAGAATCTGTGCCAAGTTTGGCCTTGCCCTGCGCTTAGAAATTGGTTCTCTGGCAGCGTTCCAAGTGAGATACTGTGGGTGTTGATCAACAATCCTCTGAAAGACTGTTTGCCAAAGCCTTGTCGACTGTGAATGAACGGAATTCACAGTCGTTTAAATAAAAGAGGTTTGGCCGGAATTAAGACTCTGCTTCATGCTTTCCAAGGAAGCCTAGGTCAGAGCACCTAGCATCCAAATTCAATGAGTTCCAAAGCAGTTGAGTACCAAAAGTATGGATACGGTTGAGGTCTTAAACACTCAGCTAGACCTCCCTATACATCTGGATGATTTGGAAGGCCATGATTTTGAAGTTTGAATTGAGGTCACCTCATCCTCAGGTTGTTTATTCAATGTCCAGCCATCTCACAGCCATCCGAGATTCATGCTAGGTCTCCCTGTTCTTTGGGCAGAGAAGATGGTATATCATCACCAGCCTTCTCCTCGAAGACAAAGAGGATGGAGATGTTGGGCTTGCTGATTAGGAATGAAGCGACGGCTTCAACACCATTGACGGTTTTGCCTGCTTGCTGAAGTGTCACAAAGCAGCCAAATTCTATTGTCGAGTAATGACAGAAGACAGTTTTGCCAGTCGGTATCCATTTGGGTGAAGTTGTGTTGCATCATCTGGAGAGCTTTTACATAATGCTGAATGGCCTCCGCGGCATTTCTCCCTCGGTCCCTCACAAAGCATTTTCATCTGAGGCACAACGGCTTCCATTTCTGCAGTTCTTGAAATGCAGAGGACATGCAGGGAACATTGTATGCTGACCGGTCCTCACCACACCATCCAGCTAACCAACAAGCGAGCACAAAGTACTTCATATAATTGGTGTCCTGTCCTCTTTTCAAACTGTGGAACCTCTTAGTTATTAAAAAAAAAAACCCAAAACCATTTCCAGGGAAGAGAAAGATGACAGAAAATAGACTGCATTCAAATAGAGCCTTGGTAGTACAGTGGTCTAAGGCACCCTGTTATTAAGCTGGTTATTAAGACCAGCTGCCTGCAATTACTGCAGGTTCGAATCTCACCAGGCTCAAGGTTGACTCAGCCTTCCATCCTTTCTAAGGTAGGTAAATTGAGGACCCAGTTTGTGGGGGCAATAAGATGACTTTGTATAAATATACAAAAAGGATGAAGGCTATTGCTGAGCACATTGTAAGCCGCCCTGAGTCTCCGGAGAAGGGCGGCATATAAATCAAATTAAAAAATAAATAAAAAATGAACAATATATATTGCCCTTCATTTCTTACAGCACCCTATCAAATTCTGGTAGATCCATAGAAGGTAAAGGTTCCCCTCACACATATGCACTAGTTGTTCCCAACTCTAGGGGGCACTGCTCATCTCCGTTTCAAAGCCGAAGAGCCAGCACTGTCCGAAGACGTCTCCGTGGTCATGTGGCCGGCATGAATCAATGCCAAAGGCGCACGGAACGCTGTTACTTTCCCACCAAAGGTGGTCCCTGTTTTCCTACTTGCCTTTTTTACTGGCTTTCGAACTGCTAGGTTGGCAGAAGCTGGGACAAGTCACGGGAGCTCACCCCATTACGTGACACTAGGGATTCGAACCGCTGAACTGCCGACCTTTCGATCGACAAGCTCAGTGTCTTAGCCACTGAGCCACTGTGTCCCATAGTACCTTGAAGGTACCAGCAGTTTTTTTAA